ATAAACTAGGTGGTGGTGATACACACCTTTAATCCCAGCACACCTTTAATCATCAGGAGGCAGAGGCAGGCAGATCTCTATGAGTTCAAGGCCAGCCTAGTACAGAACAGGTTCCAGGACAGCCAAGGCTACACGGAGAAACTGTCTGGGGGGTGGGGACAAAAGTATATTAATATACATTTCATAACAGTCACAAGAAGATACTTTAAACATAGAATTGTTTTGTAGAAGGGTGGGAGATTAGTTAGTTAGTGTAAAGAGAAGAGGGAGGAAAGGAGGCAGTTGCTTAACAAATGGAGAATCAAACTGTCTATGAAGAGGATTAATAGCCAGGCATAGTGGTGCACACCTTTCATCAATCCCAGCACTTGGGAGGCAGAAGCAAGCAGATTGTTGTGAGTTCGAGGCCAGCCTGCTCTACAAAAGATAGAATGGGCTGTTATACAGAGAAACCCTCTATGAAAACAAAAAACGAAAGATTAGTAAGTGGATGTGAATGGAACCCGAAGGAACTCCAAAATCTCAGGCTTCAGGACAATAGCTGATGAGGGTCACAGCCACAGCGACTGTTCACTCTGAGGCATGTAGAAGCTTGTCTGGATCTGGATGAGGGGAAGGGAGGAAAGGGGCTTGGGTTAATCAGGGTTCCTATTGTTGTGAGGAAACACTACAACCAAAAGTATCTTGAGGAGGAAAGGGCTTGCTCTACTTATTACCTCCATGTAACAGTTAAATCAAGGGAAGCAGTTAAAGTAGGAACTCAACAGAGCAGGACCAAGGCAGAGGCCATGGAGAAGGGCTGCTTTCTGGCTTGTTCCTATGGCTGCTTAGCCTGCGTTGTTGTTGTTTTTGTTGTTGTTGAAGATAGCATTTTCTCCATGTAACAGCCCTGGCTATCCTGGAGTTCGCTTTGTAGACTAGGTTATCCTAAAACTCCCATAGATCCACCCGCCTTTGCCTCCCAAGTGCTGGAATTAAGGGTGTGTGCCACCACTACCTGGCTCAACCAATTTTCTTATAGAACCAATGGGCTGGTCCCTCCCCTGTAGTGAGATATCCACCCAGCCCACACTTGTTGCACTGACCACGCCCATTGGGGGCGTGGGCACAGGTGCAGAGGTGAAGAGGAAGGCTAAGTCTGGGGGTCCCGGACCCCAGTTCCATCTCTCGCTTCCTGGTCAGGTGGCAGAGAGCATCTGGATGGCATCCGTATAGCGGGAACCCGCGGCGATCATCTGTTTCATGTGTAAGTGAATTTTCCCCGAATAAACCTCATTCAACCTATACGAGTCCCAGTGAATCTTATTTCCCATGCATTACTCCCCACCAATCACTAATTAAGAAAATGCCCTACAGAGTTGCCTACAGCCCAATCGTATGGAGGCATTTTCTCTCCTGAGGTTCCTTCCTCAGATGACTATAGCTTGTGTTAAGATAAAATAAAACTGGCCAGCACAGAGCTGTTGAGGTAAAAACTAATCAAAATGGATGGACTGAACCTATGGCTTTCGATAGCTTCAGAGCCTGGAAGGGAGCTGCGGAGGAACTCGCAGCAATGCCAGAGCAGAGCTGCTCAAGGACAGGAAAGCTTCAGGACAGGCCTTGGAGACATCGGTACCACCTAAGTCTCCGGTGACAGGGAATGAGAAAGACGTTTACCCCGAAAACAAAGGGAAAATGAAGTAGGCAATGAGCATCACTTTGGTTTCTGTGGCACTTGTGGACTCCGTGTGGTTTTGCCTAGATCTTATTTGCTCTTTAAAGTGTTTCCAATGGAAAAGTAGGCAGTTTCAGAAACGCCAAAGATGAGGAAGTTTAGCTTTGGCAAAAATGGAATTTTCCATGGACGATGTCATCAAACCATCAATCATCTTATTATCTTGTGAAGAAATACATCCGTGTGTATTGTAAGAAATTCGAACAATTCAGAAACTTTCAAGGAAGAGAACAAAACCTATAAACCTATAAACCATGGTTAAATCTTTGTGATTATTCCTAATAATTCTCTGTATATCCATTCAGATATGTACAATTAGTCTCAGTCTGTCTAAATGTCGGCTCAGGTCTTTTGACTTAACTAGAGAAATAACGCATATAACAATAGTTACCATAGAGTAGAGGGTTTCAAAGGAAGGGATAGAATGAGGACAGGGAAAGGTGGCTAGCTTGGGTGTTTGTGAGGATGCTGCAGGGAGTCAGAGAGGAGAGGAAGTCAGACTTCTAAGTGTTTTTTAGGGAAATAGGATTAGTGGGTGGGACACTCTAATGCCACTACAATAGAAGCAGAACCATGGGCTAAACCTCTGCACTTATTTCTCAGGGATGCTCTGCCTCTACTCTATAAAAATGAGAGGCGTTAAGGTCTTCCTCATGGAGCACATTCAGGATCAGAAATGGAAAGGAAACTATTTTGTTAGTAAACCAAAGAAAATGAAGGATTACATGTTATATTCTTCACTGTTACGGATGGCTAGACTGGGTTTTATGGTCCTTCCTGTTATAGATGGCTGAGATGGTAAAGGAAAAAAGGGATTCATTACTGCAGTGATGCCTAACTGAACAGTCTGAATAGACTTGACATAGCTAACTTGATTCAGCCGTGTTTTAGCATAATATTGGTGAGACTGATAAGATGTGAGCAAACGTCATTAGTAAAATCATGCAAAAAAATCTACAAAAGCATGTATGTCATTGTCACTTGCTGGACATGGTGGTACACTGCCTTTAATCTCAGCACTCCAGAATCAGTGGTAGACTTCAAGGCTAGCCTGGCCTTCACAAAGTTCTAGGACAGGAGGGTTATATAGGAAGATGCTCTCTCAAGAAGCAAAAGAAAAGATAAGTAATGGTGTAAAGGCTGGATCCTGGAAATTTTTCAGAAGAAAAAAAACATACCATTCATTTAAAATTCAATTTTCTACTATTAAAAGCACAAAGCAGTATTATTTAATAAAACAAGCCTGTACCCTTTTTATTTCTACAGCCTGTATGTTTGCTTGAGGGGCAAAGCAACTATGTCTCTTTCTACCTATATTTTTTTTTTTACTTAATATCAAATAAACCAAGATATAATATTATAGCAAGCAGGGTGTCACTTGTGTCCTTTAACTAGGGATGGGGTTATAGTTTAGTGATAGAGAACTTGTATCAGCATAGAATGTACTGCATGTGATGCCCAGCACCATCACCATAACAACCAAAACATATCAGCTGGGTCCATAGTAGTTAAATGAGTGTCAGAACCACCTGGAGAGCTTGGCATTAAGGCACAAGTTGCTGGGCCAAACACCCAGCGTTTCCAACTCGGTTGGTCTACAGTGAGGCCAAGGTGATCTGTTCTGATGAACTGGAAATCTCACTTTCAGATCCGGGACTTCAATCTAGAAATGTTTCCTGCTTCCTTTATTTGCTGATTTAGTTTTCTGAAAGCCCTTGTAACCAGTGTTATAGAGCTCTTCCTTGAGAATCAGATGTTCTCATCTGGAGGGCCCTCACAGGTGGGAATCACAGCACTAGCTGAACTAGGATTGTAAATTGGAGGCGAGGCTGTAAAGGAAAGCCCATTTCTTTCTCAGCACAAATGGTCACAAATGCTATCCTTGCGATCTCCGGAGCCCTCGGGTTTACTGAATACCTAATTGGAAGGAAGGAAGGCATTCTGGATTTGACAAAAAAATGAAATAAACTCCACTCCTACCACTGAGCTTCCCTTAATTTTATCATTAACATAATGATTTCTGTAATTTTGAGATTCTGGAAATTATATTCCTCGTCTTATTCAGTATGGGCTACCTTGAACTGTTGGGCCCTCGAGAGCATGTGTGTGTGTGTGTGTATACATGGAGCACACATATACAGTTACCTAATATGTATTTCGAATATGACAACTACAGGTGGATCAATACAAATACACTGCTGATCCTTACAGCATTCCTGAGGTGGTATACACTAAAATCCAGTTTCTTGAATTGGAAGTTGAATCCTTATGTAATATCATGTAATTGAATATGGAGACTGCACAGTATTTCAAAATAAGAGAATTAACACACAATTAAACTAAGACCCCACAACCTCTAACAATCTGGACAGTAGGGAAGAGTGAAGCATAGAAAATGGCTTGCTATATTCTTCACTAAGAATTTGCTTTTGCCCTATCAACATTAAACTACACCTTCTGTGCTGATGGGGGATGGGCATGTCTTTCTAAACATGTCCCAACATGCCACATGCCTGATTATAGTTTGCCTCAACTTCTTGTTTATGGTTTTCTTTGTGACAGGGTCTTGTGATGCAAGGGTCTGTGTAAAGACGGTGCAGGCCCGCCTTTAATCACATCGCTCAGGAGGCAGACAGGTGGGTCTGAGAACAAGGCCAGTCTGGTCTAAGGCTGCAGAGAAATACTTTCTTACCCCCCCCCCCCAAAAAAAAACCCAAAAACCCAAATCTAAGAAAAGGCAGGCAGAAGCCATGTTAACAAGCCAGTATGTGCCACCCTTCCATGCCCTCTGCATCAGCTCTTGCCTCTGGATTCCCACCCCAACTATTTAAAAAAGCAAAAACCAAACAAAAAAAAAAAAAAATGGGACAATAGCCACCACGCCTATGCAAAGCCACTAATGGCAGTCCATTTTCTTACACCACTGCCCAAACTGAAGAGCCTTCCCAAGTATTGGGCACATGAGCCCCTCTTTAAACCAGCCACTTACCTGACAACCAGCTCATAGCTGTACCGCCACCGCCAATAGAAACTAGAAACAGCTGCCTATGAGCAGCCCCTGCCCTGAATGCTAAGAAAAACCGACATTGATAAACTGCAGTAAACGCTACTCCAAACCCGGCGATTCCATTGAGCACTCACCCTTAATAGTCTATCAACGGATGTAAAAGGGAGCAACCTGGTAAGATCTAGTATCACAGAGTGCCAGCTCTCCTGATGAACCTGTGGTTGGCCCTAAAAAGGGCCGTTAGGGATGGGAGAATGAAGCAGTGGCGATGAAGTCTTAGCCTCCGAAGCCATACAGGGTGCGGCCCTGGCGCTTGAGCGCGTAGACTACGTCCATGGCGGTGACGGTCTTGCGCTTAGCGTGCTCAGTGTATGTGACGGCGTCTCGGATCACGTTCTCTAGGAACACCTTCAGCACACCGCGGGTCTCCTCGTAGATGAGGCCGGAGATGCGCTTGACGCCACCGCGTCGCGCCAAACGGCGGATGGCAGGCTTGGTGATGCCCTGGATATTGTCGCGAAGGACCTTGCGGTGGCGTTTGGCACCCCCTTTGCCCAGACCCTTTCCACCCTTTCCTCTTCCAGACATGATGCTTGCAGTCAAAAGACTAGAAGCCTGTGGAACGCTGAGTGTGGCTGCCCTCAGATATATGAGAGGAGCGGACCAGATTGAAAACCGAAAGCGCGCGGGCGGGAACCTTTCTAAATCATCCGGGCCCTACATGTTGCGTCATTTCCTGTTTCCCCCCCCCTCTCTTCTTTGCCCTCTACCGGTCCCTCATAGTCCCTTGCCTTTCTTTTTTATTTTTCTTTTTAATTTTCTTAAATTGTAATGCCATTGTCCCTGAGAGAATTCAGATCCCCAAATAAAACTTAGAGATTCTGCAGTCTTTTACGACTCCGTTTCTTCGCTAAAAGGACCAAAGATTGGAGAAAGAAGGGGAATTCAGAGACGAGAAGGGGAGAGCGCCGCATCGAAGGGCCCCGAGCTAGCTAGATAAAAGCGCTGCAAAAGATGTTCCAGTTGTGAGGGAACCATGATCGGAAGCTTCGGAGCCAGGGATCTGAGCATAGTTGTTGCTTTGTTGATATATACAGTTTTCTGCTCAAGCAGAAACTAGGTCCTAGGAAAATTGGTCTGGGGATATTACGCCGAGGACAGCGATTCCCCCTCAGACCTCTCCCCAAAGACCTGCTGATAAGCAGAGTCTGGGAGAGGTACCACACTCGTTTCGACCAGTCCTTTGAGTTCTGCCGGTGTTTTCAGCCTGGGAATATTTCCCAAACTGGGCCCCCATGCAGCTGGATAAATTCGCTTTTGCAAGCGTGTATCTGCTTCATACAGTGACGCCCGAAATGACTCTGGACTGCTATCGTGTTCGTCGTTCCCAGAGCCCTCCATCAAAGAATGATTAGACATTTCTTTCTGCAGCAGAAAGAATTGTGATGAGTTGTTTCATTTTGTTTTTCTGGGGGGAAAAGTATTTTTTTTAAAAGGTAATTCTATATGCCTTGTTTTATATGTACTGATGAACCCTTGATTCCCCCCCCCCCATTCCGGATTTTCTGGCTCCAGGCTTGTAGGAAGATGTGGGAAGTTTTGAGTCCTGTTAGGCGAAGGGCTCAACGCCACCCCCACCCCCAAACTCAAATGCTTTAAACCTAAGGTCTGTGAAATGTGTTTCTTAGAAGGTAGGGGACTTGTCCCTTCACTCCCCCACCTCACCCCCTTAAACCTGGACAGTTGTACAAGTCTCTTGACTGACAGATTCCACTGTGGTCACAGCATGGACATGCCTACTTGCCCAAACCAGCACCCCAGAATTCACATAGCTTCTCCAGTCCAGGAGCTTCCTGGCCAAGATTGCTGTTTTCTGAATTCTATAGTCATAGGTAGCAGCTCCTGGAAAATGTGTTACTTCACACTTTGTATCTTACTGACTCCTCCACACCCTCAACCATGTTCCTTATAGGATGTGATTTCTGTTTGCTGTTTTTGTAAATTGAAGTGCAGTAGAGCCTCAGTAATTGCTTATGAATGAATGGACAGGGCCTGCACTTGTCTTGAAACACTATTTAAAAAGGAAGACATAATCAAATTGCAAAATAAAACAACCACATGCCAAGGGTGAAGGACCTTGGTACCAGGCCCCTAGGCATAATCAGAGACTGTCTACCATCTTAGTTGAAAGGGATTAAGATTATGTGCCCAGCGTGGACATGAGAATAATTTTGAATTGAAGGTATGAGATCCTGAAATTCCCTTCTCTGTCTCTAAGTAGAACCTGCAAAAGAAAAAGAAGTCAGCATATTCCACTTGCTGAAAATAACCTGGGGGGCAGGACTATGGGGGTGGGGGGAGCTGCTCTGACTCTCTTCTCAGAGCTGAGACCTAAGCAGACTTGTTTCAGGTCTGTCCTGTCCCTATCTATTCTCCTAAGGGCTATTTATTTCCCCAAAAAGTCATTTGATTTTTCCCTAAGTGTCCCTTCTTCCTTTCCCTTTCCCCTACATGGACCCTAAGTCCCAACCACCCATTTTGAACTACTCATCTTTTGAGAATTCTCATGTCTACTCTCAATATTTAGAAGAAAATAACATATTTAAAAAGAAAACAAATTGTTTTGACCTATCTTTTCTTGTAAGATTCAGTTCCAACTATGAAAGTTAAAGCAAAAATCTTATCCTGCAATTAAGCAAAAAACTTAGTCCGTACTTTTGTATTAAAAACAAACACAAGTAAGTACATACAAAATACTGTGTGCCCAATAGTTCATTTATTTAAAATTTCTGTTTGTTTGTCTGTTGTATGGGAAAAAAAATTTAAGCTTCTTGTACTCACCCCAATTAATAAAATTTCAGTTCTCAGTCTTCAAACTTCAGGCCCCTGTAATTTGTTTTGAGACAGGGTCTCACTGTGTAACCGGCTGTCCTGGAATTGACTCATTGTGTAGGCCAGAAGGGCCTAAAACTCACAAGAGATGCACCTGCCTCTGTCTCCCCCGTGCTGGGATTAAAGGCATGTACCCTTACACCCTGCTGTTATGGTGGAGGCTTCACCCCAGCCCCTGGCATCCACATACCCAAAGAGTCTGGGATGTTATGGTGGATTCCACACAAGCCCCCCGTCCCCTATCTCCTTCCAAACCCTGATGCATCTCAGAAAGCCTGCCAAATGATGACCCCTCCCCCCAGAGATGCTCAAGACCACTCCCACGGGTCATTTAAATTGCCCCCCCCCCAGACATGTGGTTTTCTAGTGTCTCTTTCCCCTCTCCTCTGTGGGTGGACCTTCCAGGAGCGTTGTATCCATTAAACATGAATTTTTTCTAATTCAGTTTGATTTGGTCTCATTTGGATTGCTGCATCAGCGGAGAGAGGCTTGTTGGGGTGCAGAAACTTTTCACCTGCTTGGCCCCTTTTAAGGTATATTTTAATGGAAAATATCAGGACTTTTCTGAGAAATAGTTCCTATGCCCCATAACTGCAGAGAAATGGTTTCTTCTATATCATAACCCCCTTCTGATAAGAGATTTGTTCCAGAACTTCACAAGAACATTATTCTAGTGGCCAATGTAAGAACCAAACACGACTGAACTAATATAACTCTGAATTGTTATTAAAGGCAGTATATAGTGGGAGGAATAAAAACTAAGCTTTCCGAGGCATCAGAGATATTGTATTTCAGGAAGTGTTCCTGACAACCCTTGAAAGCTTCCTTTTTTTATTTCTAATTTCTTGCCTTAGGATTCACATTCATAGTGGCATCCCTGTTTCTGAAAAATAGAAAACTCTTACAAGCATACTTTTAAAATTAAGAGAAGAGGAAGACTCTTGGGGTTTTCTTATTGTCTATTAAGTAAAATAAACTCTTGGATTCTATACTTGAAAGCAGTAGCTTTCTCTTACCCTCAGATGATGCAGTCCAAGATCCTGGGTCCACACCTAAGCATATAGATAACAATGTACATCACATATGCAGCTCTATATGTTTCCCTAGAGTATGTGTATATATGCTTATCATAAAGTTTAAGTTATAAACTTAAACTCAGTAAAAAGAGGAAAAGCAACAACGATGATCACGTTCCTTACTAAAGTTTGCACTTCAGTTTGCCCAAGATCACCTTTACCCGAACAAAGGCGCTCAATGCCTCAGCAGATACTATGAGAATGGAGGAGCTAGAAAGTGATTAATTTGTACTTAGTAGGGATATGGTGAACAAGGAGGTGATTTATGTCCTGAGTGAGAAAGCATGACATTTCATCATTGTTCTAGGAATAGGCATGCAATGTAAAACTGACTTTTATCCTGGAATTTTTCACTTAATATTATCTAAATTGAGGACAGAAATGAAAACCTCAGAAAAGGGGCATTAGCATATAGAGATTGAGTATAAGTTACAAAGGCAATCTAACAAGAAAACATGACATTTGGGTGGGTACTGTCCCCTTCTGATGGGAGTTTATGGGAGAAGTTTGAGAAGGTCTAGAGGATTTAGTGCAGAATAGGAAAGTGTTTCTGTGCTACAAAGTTTTGCCAACTGACCCATCTCACTGACCCTAGAACTACCTTTAAACAGAGCATTGCTGTCCATGCTTAAAACATTGCTAGAAAAAGACCACAGAAGGGGTAATGGTTCACATCAGTGATGCTTTTGTGCCCTATTTTGGAGATTGCTTCTGCTTCTGGGGGATTCTTAATGAAATTAATTTAGCTAGCAAACTTCTACATGTGGTCCCTCCTTTGGAATTCCTTTAAAATCAATTTTACCATTATAACAAGCACTTTCCAAAACATGGCAAGTAGCTGAAAGGTTTAAAAACAAAACAAAACATAAAGCTTCACTGTTCTTGGGAAGAATATAGAAAATGTTAGGCGTTTGTGGGAAAAACTTTGTTAGCACCTCAGTCATCAATAAATTACTAGTTTGCTTTGAAAGTTATTTTAATGTGTCACCTGGACAAAGGTTTAGTTATTTAGTAACTATTCTCTGCTGGAAAGGAGGTATTAATACTTCTAGTCTTATCCTTTGACAAATAAGCGTTTCGTCTGTAGGGCTTAATTGGTCTTTGATGTAGGGATGAAATGGAGGGTGGACACTAGAGGGGAGGGGCTCAGGGGCGGCAAACAACGTGGGTGAGTGTGCAGCTGATGTACGGCAATTTTGGTTGGGTACACAAGTAGATAAAATGTAATCTAGTTCCTTTTATTGCTTTGTCTATATATTGTTTTGTCATTCTTCAGCTACCATTATAAAAGCTTCCAAACCGCGGGGCCCAATGCCTGAAGCTAAATAAATGCTAACTGTAGAAGTTACAGTAATTGGTGACTGGCAACAAACTGAGTCGCAGTACCAGAAAGAGGCAAGCTTATTTCCGAAGGAACCTGTTAGGGCACACAGTGTGTAAAACACTGTACACTGCTTTCAGAAAAAGTACATCAACTGAAAAGAGCCACCTTTTCAATCGCTCCGTGGTCCGTCAATACAGGAAGAAGGGAAAGGCTCAGAAAAGATGGTGCGTGTAACTATCTCGTGACTCGAGGATCGAATTCTACCCAATCAGATTCCAAATCCAGAGACTCCTGTTTTTCGGGCCCAATCAAGACGAAGATAAGTCTATAAATATGGCTACTAGAGGCTTTCAAGCTAAAGTCGCAAAAACATGGCTCGCACAAAGCAGACCGCCCGCAAGTCCACCGGCGGCAAGGCCCCGCGCAAGCAGCTGGCCACCAAGGCTGCCCGCAAGAGCGCGCCGGCCACGGGCGGCGTGAAGAAGCCGCACCGCTACCGGCCCGGCACCGTGGCGCTGCGTGAGATCCGGCGCTACCAGAAGTCCACCGAGCTGCTGATCCGCAAGCTGCCGTTCCAGCGCCTGGTGCGCGAGATCGCGCAGGACTTCAAGACCGACCTGCGCTTCCAGAGCTCGGCCGTCATGGCGCTGCAGGAGGCGAGCGAGGCCTACCTGGTGGGTCTGTTCGAGGACACCAACCTGTGCGCCATCCACGCCAAGCGCGTCACCATCATGCCCAAGGACATCCAGCTGGCCCGCCGCATCCGCGGGGAACGGGCCTAAGCTTGCATCCTTACGAAGTAGATAAAAAAAAGGCTCTTTTCAGAGCCACCTATGTTGTCATTAAGAGCAGCTGTGTCCGCTTTGCAGAGGGTCAGGCAAAGCCTGAACTTTTGTTTCCAACGTATCCCCAAGTGTTTTTAAGTCTTAACAGTTGTGGCTAACCACAGACAGGATTTAAACTTGTAAGTTCAGGTTGGGTGGGTCAAGCCCAGGAGGAATTAGTAAGAATTAGTTATCGTGTACCCTGTGTTCAACAAATATGATAGCCCAGAAAAGTAAGTTATGTTTAAACCGGGTGCTCAATGATTGGGAGGAAGATGAAGGGCAGGTGAAGGAACTGCAGCTCGTTTACCAGCTAACATGAAATGGAGGGCTGCGATTGGCTGAGAAGACGCCTCTGGTCACCACCAAGGCGCGCAGCCAGAGTCTATTTGCGTAGACTCCACCTACTTGACGTTAACTCTAGTACAAATTAACCAATGAAAATGTAGTACTGTGTAAACCTTCATTTGCATACAAGCTCTATAAGTAGCGCATAACCAGCCGTGCTCCAACAGTTCCTAGTCGTCTCGTCCATTTTGTGCTTCTCTTTTGAGCGTGGAGGAAAATGCCGGATCCTGCGAAATCTGCTCCTGCTCCGAAGAAGGGCTCGAAGAAAGCCGTCACAAAAGTGCAGAAGAAGGATGGCAAGAAGCGCAAGCGCAGCCGTAAAGAGAGCTATTCTGTCTACGTGTACAAGGTATTGAAGCAAGTGCACCCCGACACCGGTATCTCTTCCAAGGCAATGGGCATCATGAACTCCTTCGTGAACGACATCTTCGAGCGCATCGCAGGCGAGGCTTCCCGCCTGGCGCATTACAACAAGCGTTCGACCATCACTTCGAGGGAGATCCAGACAGCCGTGCGCCTGCTGCTACCCGGGGAGTTGGCTAAACACGCCGTGTCGGAGGGCACCAAGGCGGTCACCAAGTATACCAGCTCCAAGTGAAGTGCAGCCGAGACGTGATTGATCGACTTTACCCCAAAGGCTCTTTTCAGAGCCACTTCAGCTCTCGGAGAAAGAGCTGTAACCACTAAAGGCCTATGATTCCTTTAGGTAAGGTGGGGTGATGAATTCTTGTCTCCTTGCGGGGCTGTGGCGCAATGCCAAGCATTTCAAAGAATGTTGGGCTGGTATTGCGCGGCGGAACCTGTCGCATTGAGTAGGATAGGTCAGTGTACTCCCTAATGGCTATTAAGGGCCGTTTGAGTTCAAACCGGAGTAATAGTCCCTCACCGCCCTGGAGCATCCGAATATAATTAGCCTAGAGCCTGTTGTGGGAGCAGTTACTGGCTTCAAACAATTGTCCCATCAATGCCACTGAGCAGTATGCTTTCCGTAAACTCGCAGTTGCAGGCCTTATCCAGTTTAGGTTATCGTAGGTTGCTTGGTAAAGCATGCATAGAAGTCGAGTGCTGGAGTCTCGCCCACCCCTTTGTGGTTTGGGGCGGCGGGGGTGGAGTGATGAGGATCGTTTGGAGGCAAGTTCTGCCTGCTGCGCCACTTCCCTGCCCGACTCCACGCATTTTTTACGGTCAGTATCAGCCGTAGGTGCAATTTCCACAGCAGAAACTGGCTTTTCTTACTCTAAAGGTATTCACAGCGGGAAATGAGTCCTAACCCTCACCAAGAACTGTATGCTTTAGAGAAAGGATTTCTTTTCTCTGATACTCTTACTGTCAGAAAGAAACATAACGGAGCCCTATCTAGGTTGGTTAGGGTTAAGTAAGAGAATGTGCTTAAAGCTGGAACCAGGGAGATGTGGAGTAGGAAGAGGCCGTTGCGCCCTGCACTTAACTTTCAGGGCTCTAAAAGGCACTTCCCTGAGCATCTTGCATTAAACTCCTTACCGTATAAAACATCTTCCCAGTAAGGCATCTAGACCTCTTGCAGGACGTGAATCTGTGGAAACTTCAAAAGTATCTTATGTGACCCCTGAGGGAAGGTGGGTTTTAAAAGTTGACGGTGGCCCATGCCTTTAATCCCAGCTCTCTAGAGGACAGATTCGTATCTGGCCTATATGATCTTTGGCGAAGTCCCTCAGATTGACTAGTCAAATACAATTTGCAGATGTTGCCAAAACCACATGTGTGGACCATCCCCGAAAGTCTAGAAAGATGGTATAGACATGGAGGGGTAATTCCTAAAACCTGGATATCCGAGTGTGCCATGTGTACACTACTTCCCGTACGCTGCTGCATGACTCACTCTGAGGTCTGATTGGGAATGTGTCCTCATCTTAAAATAGTAATATTTATACAGTCTTCAGAAACATATCTCACAAGATTAAATCATAGCTCATACTTACACTTTATTGTATTCAAAGTTTACATTATTTTCAAATTCACACAGAACACTGACCAAAACTGGCCACCAATTTGATATGAGAGACTCCCAGAGAGTGGACCTTCACGCCCTCACACAAGAAAGGCTACACCCCCGAATCACTCACAAGAAGCGGTCTTGATGCAAATAGCATGAGGAGTTTTTTATTCCAAGTGCACTGGGGTCCACAGTCATACACCACGCAGGGTAGAGGACTAAGGACCTCGAGCGCAGAAGAATTGAGACCGTTTTTATAGGGTTTACAACAAAGCCCACATATAGGTCACTGGGGAGGGGGTTTCACAAGCAGTTTACAAAGTCAGATAAGTGGTTAGCCAGTTCATTTTCTGTTATCTTACTAGGCCAAGATTACATACTCAAGGGCCTGTCTGCCGTAAACAGCAAGGAGTGTGGCCTTGCCTCTTTACTGGCAGAGGACAGGATCTGGAATTTGAGGTTTTCAGGGCTTTTTAGATAGTATTTCTAAAGTTTCAGCTTCCTGTGGTCATTGGAGAGTTAGGCTGTATTTTTCCATCCTTTCAGATACTTAATTTGTAAAGGACACACTCATTGATAACAAAACAATAAAATAAGCCCATCCCTACAATCACTGTTCTACAGAAAAAGCCACAGGTCAAAGGGGATTTCAAAATAAAACTTGCACAATCTTTAGAATAACAGTGAGATCACTGAATGTGTGGGAATCTCTGCAAGTACGCAGAGGGTAAATCATAGATTTACAGGATTGGTGGTGCAGGCCTTTAGCTCAGCACTCAAGAGGCCGAGACAGGTCAAAAGAATGGACTTAAAGAAAGTTGCGCTTTTAACTCAAAGGAAGGTCGAAAGAATAAATCTGAGTAAGAGCAGAATCCATAGGATAGCAAAGACTTCCCTTGGCTACCAAGACCAAATTAACTAATAAAACCAAAGACTGTTGTTGGACAACCCTCTCTTAAGCTAAGGTAAGGTACACAGCTAATGTTAAATGCAGAAGATATTGTAAATGCTATATGCTTGGGGCTTGAATTTGGTTTTGTTGTTTCTTTATTATGTGTATGAGTGTTTTACATTCCTGGTGCCCAGAGTTTAGAAGAAGGCACCAGACCCCCTGGAATCAGAGTTACAGACTATGAACCTTTATGTGGTTGCTGAAAACTGAACTCAGGTCCTCTGTAAGAGCCTCCAACTGCTCTTAATCACAGAGCCATTTTGTTCAGTTAATTGGTGTTTTGTTTGGTAACAGGCCCCCAGACCTTAGCACAACAGACCGCATGATGAAAATACCATTCTGGCCTTGAGACTCAGCTCATAAACAGTACTGTGTGTCCAAAGTTCATAGTTCTGGGAAGTCTCCAGATATACAAATCTTGCTTTTTTAGCTTCTATAGTTCTGCTTCCAGCTGTTATTGTTAACTGAAGTATGTCAACAGAGAATATTTTTGTGCTTAAAAGCTCACCCTGGAAAGACTCAGTATTAATTGGGATCCCCACTACCCAGTATAATAAAGACTTTCTCTTGGCCTAAACTCATGTCCAAGCAGTGTTCTGTGGTGGCTACCCCACAATAATAAAGATAAGTCACTCAGACTAATCTCAAATCTCAATCTTCCAGCCTTAGCTTCTTAAGTGCAGGATTATAAACCTGTAGCACCACGCCTTAAGTAGCTCCATGAAAAGGAGACTGTCTGAATTAAATGAAAGGAACTAGGGCTGGAGAGACGACTCAGCAGTTAAAAGCATTGGCTGACCTTCCAGAGGACATAGGTTTTAGATTCATTCCTAGCACCCATATGGCATCTCACAACTGTTGGTGTTTCTAGCTCCAGGGGATCTGACTCCCTCTTCTGACCTTCTCAGGTACTGCACACTCATGGGCCGCTCGCGCGTATACACACACACAGGCCAAACTCCCATACACATAAAATTAAAGAATAAGTCTTTCAATAAAATACATATATACTGGAGAAGCCGAAAAGATAGTCAAATACTTTCTTATAATTCCAGCCCAATGAGAGAATTAAGATAAGAAGTGACAAGTGAAAGAGCTATGAAATCTGAATTCTGTCTGATTGTGACCAAAACTTGGGAAATTTCAGGATATGACTCAGTTAAAGTTAGAAATTATTATTTTTAAAAATAAGAGTGGTACTTGTAAGCTATGAAAATGCTTATTCATTTGACTCTGTCTCCCCAGTGGGCCCTCAAAGACAGAGCCAAATTGAGAGCAGTCATTGCTTCCTCAAAACTAGCTTGTTAGCAAACATGACATGTGAAGATTTTATGCTCATTTTCCCAGAATACCAGTCAACTATTTCTGGCCCTTAGTGATGTTCCTTCCCATAGCAGGGTGCCCTCAGGGTAACAGGGATAGGAAGGGAAGGCAACTGAGGGAGAGCAGGCAGTGGCAACTGTACACTAACCAGTCTATGTCTGCGCTATACTTCGTGAACTGGTTTTCCTTTTTTGAGACAGGGTCTCATGCTACCCAGGAGTACCATGCTACTCCTTACATACTGAGGATGACCTTGAATTTCTGATCCTCCTACCTCACCTCCTGAATGCTGGAATCCCAGGCATGTGTCTCTATGCATGGTTTTATGCCATACTGAGGATTAAACATGCAGCATCATGCATGCTGGGCAAGCACTGTCCTGGAGCTACACCTTCAGTGCTTTCCAAACCTGAAAGGCCTTATGGAGTCCCGGATTTTCTACATACTAGTGTTTGGGGGTACGGGCAAGGGTGAGGAGTAGAGAATAGGGAGAGAGTAGAGTCTTCTTTTCATTGCCAACCTTAATATACAATTATCCAAGGGCTATTTTGTTTGTTTGTTTTTTGAGACAGAATTTTGAGACAGCCCTGACTGTCCTGGAGCTCACTCTGTAGACCAGGCTGGCCTTGAACTCAAAACCTCCTGCCTCTGCCTCCCGACTGCCTGCCGAGATTAAAGGCGTGTGCCCAGCTCCAGGGTTGGTTTTTACACTGTTACAGTTATGAGACATAGTCATCACCTAAGATTCTCCCTGTCCCATTTCACACAAATGAGAGCTATAGGCATGGTTCTAACAATACTTCTAGAAGAAAAATTCTAGCACCACTGTAAGATATCAGTAATGATATAAGCAGAGATTATGCCTTGTCATATTTAGGAACGTCAACATTGCCAAGCCTACTCTTCCTTTTTTTCTTGACCCCCACAGAAACACAGATCTACAGATTTAATGCAGTCCGTCTCCATATTAAGTAGTCTCATGAAAATCTGGCATGATTTCCAATCTTTCTAAGACTTTCCCCCCTCCCCAGCATTCCTTATCAAATATTCCCTATTTTATTTATATTTTTGTGGGGTTTTGTTTGTTGTGTTTTTGGTGGCAGGGCCACCCTATAATATATGCCTCTGGCTGTCCTGTGCACCAGGCTGGCCTTGAACTCACTGAGATCATTCCCAAGGACTGGAATTAAAAGCGGGTGCCACCACACCCAGCCTCTTATCAAACTCTTCACTGGCATTCTACCCAGCCTCTGACCAAAAATATGCACTTGTCCACTTACACTGATGATGTCACATATTGTGGAGCTCAGCATTCTAGACTCAGAACTACTGCTTTAAGGGTAATACTTGGGTTTAATAAGAATCTTAAATAAGGGCATTGGAGGTGCGGCTCAGTGTGCAGTGCGCTTGCCTCTAGCAGGAAGTTCTGGGTCAGTCATCAACAGTGCATACCTGCAACCCCTGCACTAGGTAAGTGGTCTATCTAGAACAAGTTCCAGACCAGAGGGATACTTGAGACTATGCCTAAAAAGAATCTTAAATAAAATATTGATCTAAAATCCTCGCTGCTTTCTATACCTTCCTGCCCTGTTCTACCACCCTGCTCCTCTGCTCAACAATTGGAATGTTTAATGTCCTGAGCCATGACCGCCACCATCACCCTTCTCTCATTTCCTGTTAGTGAATCAGAGTCTTGTTGACACTTTCTCCAACATATTGTCTCTGACCATTTCTGGGTAGCCCTGCTGCCACTCTGTAGCACAAGCTGCCCCTCCTCCCACTCTGGTTTCCGATCCCTGACTTAGTCTCTAAGTCTGTGGCAGCGAAGGGCTTACCCCTGAGAGCCACCTACTAGCAATATCTCCACTCTTTTCTCCGGTTTAGAATGACTGGGCAGACCTGGGCTAATCGCAGGCTCCACCTGGGCTAATCGCAGGCTCCTCCTAGAAGATAATCGGTAAATTCTGAAGGTACTGAGTAATGGAAGGCCCTGAATGGATTCGGCTACTAAAGAAGCCTAGAAATCTCTGAGCATTCTGAAATGGGCCTAGTAAGTCTGGAAAATGACAAGCCCTGACTGATCCATCCTCCTAACTAATTGCCTGTTTTGTACACAGTCGTGAAAGACGAGGTAATTAATTACAAGATTAAGCCAAGATCCTCTAGCACTGGTCTAGCAATGAAGACCAAACCACACCTCCCCTAAAAGACAGACCTACCCACTCTCCTCCCCACCAGATGCATCTTATCCCCCCTGTGCGGCGCCTCATTCTCAGTTCTGGAAACTTCTCGGGGATCCACTGGGTCCCTGCCTGCCAGCTCGCTGGATCGGCTGACCCAGGTTTCCTTCCTTCCGACAATGCTGGAACTAGAGGGGAGGCTGTGTATGCTGGACACGGAGGAGGCGGAGGTCGCAGTCTCCTCCTGCTGGCTCCCTGGCGTGCCCCCCACCCCCCGCCTAGTCTTGGGGCGGGGCAAACTGATTCTTCTCCCAGACTGCAGCGGCTGCAAGCCCCAAAGGTGGCCAGCAGGGGGCGCAGCGTGTGGGTCTGATCTGCGGCTGCGAGCTCCCGGAGGCTTCCAGCCTCGGGTGCTGCTGCGCTCGCGCAGAGGTGAAGTGAGTCCACCTGCGAATGGTACCCTTCCCTGTATCAGGGGGAATCGGAAACGCACGACCCTCTTCAACACGCTTTTTGCTGCCGCAGACTCAATCTAGATCGTTTCGTTCCTGCCACCTGGGGGGGGGGGAGGGGGAAGCAATTATTCACAAGTTCGGGTCACGTGGGTCCCCCATGGCAGCCTACCTTCTCGCTGACTGCAGTGTATGCAGATGCCACCAGATGGCGCCAGCGACTCACGCCGCCCCCTGACATTTTTTTTTCTCTTTCTCTTCTTTCTGTTACTGAGAGTCTTGATTGAATTTGTTTTCTCTACCAAATGAAGAATTAAAGGCAGAAAAAATATCGTATGACAGCTAGCAAAAAAGTAAATCCCAGACACAGCAGACAGAATCAACCGGTGAAGAACAGTTTTCATTAGGTTGAGGAAAAATTACACAGAGCAGGGCACACAGAAAGATTGGCAGTGATCTCAGAAGTCGGCCTCTCCTAGAGGGGTGGAGGCTTGAGGATCTTTGAGCGGCCTTACCCTAATTTAGGACTGATCAGTGTCAGTAAAGATAGAGAACCTGATGGGTTCACAATTCTGGATAAACATGCTTGAGTCGGGCCTTCACTTGGACTGCACTACCAGGCCCTGCTGGCGGGAGGGGAAAGCCCACCCAATCATTAGGTCAGGAGTATGTGGGGGGATAAAAGCAAGTAGTTTGCCATATTTATTATCTGTTACATCCCCTATGTGTCTGCCTATCAGGATCTAAACCTTTCTATTTTGTAACGTGATTGGGAGGTGCCACAATGTCTGGAGGCTGAACACATCTGCTTGCAGGAGAGAGAGAGGGAGTGATGGGTAAATGAGGTAACTACCAGCTCTCCCTTCACTGAAATTCAGGGAAGTTGCTGGGTGAAGCCACTGGTCATTTGTCAGCAAGCTTTTACTTCTGATTTAAGATGCAGGTCGATATGGAGGACTAGGAGTAAAAGCGAATTAAAAGCAAAGACAAAACGGGGGAACTTCTGGCTTCTTTTTCATCCCTCTGGACAGAGATGAAGAGCTGGCTGGCTACTTGAAACAAAAGGCTGGCAGGCTTTTTTTTCCTGCAGTAGCTGCCCCTACAGCCCCTACTTGTGCCCACCCCCACCACCACCACATGCTGGTCAGGTAAACTCAAGGCCTGACCTGTACATATTTACCCAAAGCTGTGGGTTTATCAGATTCCCTTTCTTTGTCTAAACTGAGCAACCCTAAATAGGGAAGGGGAACCCCATTCCCACCAAAGACCCTGAAAACCCCTAGTCCTCCAGGAGAGGAAGTACCCCTCTGCTTTGCAGGAGCCTTGCTGCCTAGCTGGTGTGTGTGTGTGTGTGTGTGTATAGTATGAATGTGTGTGCATGTGTAGTATTCCAGTGTGTGTGTGCATATGATATGTGTGTGTAATGTCTGTGTAATTGTAGGGTGTGTGTGCATGCATATGGTATGTGTATGCATGTTTGGTGTATGTGTGTATGTGGTGTATGTGTATGTGATGTGTTTGTGTATGTGTGTGTATGTGGTGTGTGTGTGTGTTTGTGTGTGTGTGGTGTGTGTGTGTGTTTGTGTGTACACGTGTGTGTATGTGGGGTGTGTGTGCGTGAGTGTGTGTGTGTGTGTGTGATTTTCTTTCATGGCTTTTGCTGCTGTGTTTGAGATTCTCCTTGTGGCTACTTGCTGTGCTAGAGGTCTCTTCGATTGACAGAAAAACAACGTAATCCAGACCCCCTGACAGTAACACATAGTTCACAAAAATACATTCAGAAGCAAAGATGTTCCTTTGCCCAGTTAGAGGAAAAAGAATAGTTTGCTTTATGTACAAAACCACTGATATGACAAGCTATTAAATTACATCATTCAGGAATATCAAGCTTGCTTTCTGGTACCAAATGGTGATAGATGTGAATGTTTTTTTTTTTTGTTTGTTTGTTTGTTTGGTTTTTTTTTTTGCTATTACCATTGTTTATTTTTATTTATTTTAAAATAAATTATTATTAAATCAATGGTTGTTATCATTAAAATAAGTGGTTTTCTCCTTCCCCTCCCCGTCCTCTCTCTCTCTCTCTCTCTCTCTCTCTCTCTCTCTCTCTCTACTTGCCAACAAGATGTAAGCTCTCAGCTGCTGCTCCCTGCCATGATGGTCATGTCCTCACTCTCAGAAATTGTAAGCAAGTCCCCAATTAAATGCTTTCTTCTGTTAAGTAGCCTTGGTCACGATGCCTCTTCACAGCAGTAGAAAAATAACTAAGACAAGCAGTATATGTTCTCTAGCTGCTGAGCCATCTTTTAAAGATTTATTTGTATGATATTTACATGTATATCTCTTCATTCCTTTGGGGTAAGAGCTGTGGTGTTTTGGGTTTTGTTTGTTTTTATATTGAGACAGGGTTTCTTTGTGTAGCCCTGGCTGTCCTGGAACTCCTTCTGTAGACCAGGCTAGCCTCAAAATGACCCAAACTCATCCACCTGCCTTTGCCTCCAGAGTGCAGGGATCAAAGGTGTGCACCACCACACCCAGCTTGATTTTTTTTTTGTTTTGTTTTTTTAAGATTGATTTTTTAAATTGTTTTTGACATATGTTTGTGTCTATATGCCATGCATGTGTAAGTGCTTGAAAGGGGCCAGTAAAAGGGCACCAGGACCCCCTGGAGCTGGAGTTACAAGCAGTCACAGAAACTGAATTCAAGTCCTCTGGAAGAGCAGGAAGTGCTCTCTCTCCAGCTCCGGGACTGTTTCTCACACTGACAATTTGTGCATGCATTCTGCAACAGAGTGTATCTCCTCCAGTGACCATGAGCTGTTACCCCTGTCTCTCTTATGCCTATTGTTCCCTGGCTATAAAAGTTCCAAAGTACCCTTGGTATCCACTGATGGTTCTGACCCAGTGAGACTCATGCTATGCTGCACGGTCTCTGGGGACCGGGACCTCTAACCCAGCAGAGTCTAGAGTTCCAGAGATGTGAACTTTCAGCGGTTCCTTGGCAGAGACAGTGAGTAGAGATACAATCTATTCCTTATTTCTAGGATCCGGTCTTCCTAGTGTGGTCGCGGTGCTTTGGTGGCGTCCACATACGATCTGCACCTTCCAAGAAGTATTCCTTCGGTCAGTGTTCGGGCCCTATCCTAGGCTCCAGCTTGCAGGCAGTGCAGGAAGGAGAACCTGAAGCAGCCCCCTAGGGGTGATGACTGCTTGTCAGACGGTCATGCATCTACCCCAAAGCCTTCAGCCACAACTCGGCTAAGGCTCTGTGTGCAGGCTGCCTGGAAAGGCCGCTCGAGTGAGGCGGTATCTGGACCTGAGATTAGATGGATCCAACCTCAGCACACTGCCCACCTTACTCGCCAGCTGTTGCCACTAGGTCCTGTGGCAGCCTATCTGGGGAAGATGCATGAAAGGAGACCGTGGGAAAGAGAACACAAATTCTGATGCTCTCATGGTGACCAGCCTTAATCCAGCTTCACCCTAGGCTACGGTGCTAGTCCATATCCATGTCTGCTCCCCTAACACACAGGCTTCCCCCCGGGAAGCCCTCTGCCTGAAACCATCCACCCTATGAGGGGAGGCATTCTGGGCAGGAATGTCACAACTGCTCTAGTTCCCCACTCCTCACTCTGAAGTCTTCAGAGCTGGCTCCTGTTGAGAGGCTGGGTGGGGGTTGTTCTTCCTGTGGGATTCACTCCCGCTGCTGCCTCCCACTTTCCTGCCTCCCGGCTCATTACCAAACGGGTCTCAAATGAAGTCAGCTTGTACGTTTGCTTTATTTAAGAGTCGCATGCTGTGGTGCCACAGTCTCAGTGTCAGTCAACTTTTGCAAGTTTGTGCCCCACAGAGAGGGAGGGTGCAGGTTGCCCAGGTCCACAGCCACCGCGTGGCCCTTCTGGTGTGGTCTGCCTTGCCATGTCTCTTCTTCAGACACCTCATCGCTTCAAACTTGCTAAGAGGAAGTGTCTTTCTTCCCCTGATCAGAAACCAAAAGGACTTCTAAATTGTAGTTTTTCTTTCTTTGAAACTTCTTGTGTATTTTCACACAGAGAATTGTGTCCACCAAAAATATTATTCCCATTGACATATAGAAAATGGTGTGAAACCAGACAGGGGCCGATGACTGGGGACCTGGAAGGGGGAGAGGGGGGAGAAAAAATCCTTTAGAAAAACATCCTCAGTGGAGGGCTGAAGAAAGTTGTCTCTCCCCAGAGATAAGTTCAGGAGACAAGAAATTTCCAGAAGTTCCAGATAGGCCCTCCCTGAGACTATTACACTGCCCTGAACTTCAGAGACAATTGCTTTTAATGTTTTTAATGCTTGAACCCTCCCCCCAATCCAGCTAGATACAGACACGAGAATATGTTGTCTATGAGGGCAAACCGTAAAACCATCATGTAAATCCATCATCAAAGCACACATCCTTGTCCTGGCTAGTTTTATGTCAGCTTGACACAGCTAGAGTTATCTGAAAGGAGGGAGCCTCAACTGAGAAAATGCCTCCATAAAATCCAGCTATATGAGATTTCTTAATTAGTGACTGATGGGAGAGGGCCCAGTCCATTGCTGATGGTGCCATCCCTGGTCTGGAGGTCCTGGGTTCCATAAGACAGCAGGCTGAGCAAGTCATGAGTTGCAAATCAGTAAGCAGCACCCCTCCATGGTCTCTGCATCAGCTCCTGCCTCCAAATTCCTGCCTTGCTTGAATTCCTGTCCTGACTTCCTTCTGTGATGAGCAGTGCTATGTAAATGTAAGCCAAATAAATCCTTTCCTCCCCACCTTGCTTGTGGTCATGGTGTTTCATCAGAGCGATAGAAAGAAAACTAGGACAACCCTAATGTTTTCTGTAGCAGATGGGTGAGAAAGAGCTGCAGAGAGGGGAGACAGACAATGAAGGAAATAAAGAAAAGAAAGAGTATCAGGGAACTCAGGGAAGGCTGGAGGAAAGCAGTGCAGTTTGGAATGAAGTGTGGAACCCTGCTGGTGAGGGGCTCCCCTTCCAGCTGGGGGAGGAAAGGGGGGCCCCTACTTCCCGCACACTCACCGAGTATTCTAAGCTCCAACTCAGGGCTGTGCTTAAGGATGCTGCCATCCTCCGTGGCTACCTCACACCAGTATAGCCCAGAATCTTCTCTTTCAGCACTTGGGATGTGGTACTCCGAGGATGTGTTCCTATCCTCCAGGATCTTGCTGCCCACGTAGAAGGAGAAGTAAAGCGGCAAGCCAGGACTCTGTAGGAGCAATTTTGTCTCACAGCTCAGGGTGACCGGACTCCCCTCCAGGAAGGGAGATGGCAGGGACGATGTCAGCACTGGAGCTGTAAATAGCTCTAAAGAGGAAGTTGATGGGGACAGGGCTCTGTTCAGTGTCTGGTCTTTTCATGAGACTCCCTTTTGTGAATCTTGCCCCAGGAGAATGAGCTTCCCTCATTTTCAACAGAGGAGCTTCTCATTACATTTGCACTCTTCTATGTCTGACTGTGTTTATTATGAAACACAGACACCCCCTCCCCACCGTGGCAGTAACCCAGAGTCAACACTAACATACAATTGCCAACTAAGTCCTTCATTAGTTATGCTAATCAAAAAAGAGTCTGGGACAGCAATTTCTTCCCCACAGAAATGAACTGTTTTTCACACAGGAATACCTTGCCAGCGAGTGCTAAGAAGGTAAGCTATGGAGAGAGTTAAAACAAAGAAAGGCCTTTGTGCAAAGCAGATGGAGAAAAGTGTTTGATTTACAGAAGCTTAGAGAGTTCAGGGAGGCTAATGATCTCTGGCACATAGATGGGAAATAAAACCAATTCTTAATGTCTTTCTGGTTTCTATGGGACTTTTGTGGAACCTTCCCAAGGTTGGATGGATTATTTTCTAGTAACTCTGGCCACCTTGAGTGAGTGAGTGAGTCTCTGGCCTTAGCAGATAAAATGAACAAAGTGTCTAGTCGCTGTCCCCTGGCGTGGACATGCACTCCTGTGGCCACTGGAGGGCCTTTGTGGCTGCTGAAAAGAGCAATGGGTGGGGGTTCAGAGACCTCAGGGCTGCTTCTGGCCCAGCCAGTGGTCCTGGGGTGGCCGGCTACCTTTCACGGTGACAGACATCCCCGCAGATGTGTAGCGTTGGTAGTTTTTCCCTATGCCTGAGCAATGGTAGATGCCGGTGTGACTCAGGTTGGTTTGCAGAATGGTGACCTCAGAGCCTTGAGAAGACTGAAAGTATTTTCCATCTCGATAGAAAAACACGTTGTACACCAGCTTACTCTGCCATCCGTGACACCTCAAAGCCAGAGGTTCTCCTTCTGTGAGGACTCTTCGAGAGGCCTGGAGTAGCAGCCAGTCTGAAAAGGGAGGGCCACAGTGTTTGCATGCAACAGAGGAAGTAAAAGGAGGACAGATCTTGGAGGCATATATACCTTTTATTATTTGCAACCTTAGTTTCTGCTGTGGCCCATAGCTGAGTCCTACTTTCAAATCTCTTTGGCTTTGGTGGAAAGAGAATCGACCTTTCCCAGAATCTGTGCACACCAGCCCCCTCCATCCTTTCCCAGCAGCTGTGCACACCAGCCCCCTCTTAGCATCCCTTCTTAGGGCTCAGGAATGGGTTGGGACAAAGTTTACTTTGCATGGTAGAAAGAATCCTTAGAAGACCCAATGAATCATACATACAAAGCCCCCTGAATGTGATGTATGTACCCCTATGTCCAAATTCTATAGCCAAGAGAATATGACAGGCCAGGCACACATTTGCCATATCTGGCTTTCTTAGCAAGTTGGATAGAGATGCTCCTGGTGTCCTTGAAGCAGTAAGCTCTCATGATATGACATACAGCTTGTGAAGATGAGTATGCCTCCCCCCCCCATGGGCAGCCCAATTAGAAACAAAGAGACTAGTCCTATAACCACAGGAACTTTGTGAATTTGGAGAGGAACCCAAGGAGCACAGTCCGGTCAACACCCTGACTGCAGGGGACCTGTGCAGACTGAAGCATAATAGTTACAGGTGTCTGGGGCTGTAGGTTTGTGCCAGTCTACTATGCTGCAGTAGAAAGGGGGTGTAGGGAAGGCAGAACAGTGAATGTGAGTCCACTGCAGTGGGTGAGACCACAGACCCTGCCGCTTTCCTTCTAAATGCAGTTAAGACCTGAAATTCAATCTCACACTGCCCAGACACACCAATGTCTTTGCTTTGTCAGAAACACAATAGAGTTTGATGTGTCTCCTTATGAAATTATCAAAACACAAATATGAAAAAAGTTACACCCTGAAATTAGCCAGACTTGAGGTCTGTATATCCCAATGGACCTTTATATATATAGTTTAAAAAAAAAAAAGCCATTCAGAAAGGAAGCTGTGGCATTTCCCATTGGGTTTTATACTGTCGCTACAGAGTATATTTTTATGTACTCATCTATCGTCAAAAACAAAAAAAAATCCATGACAGAGATGATGGACCTAGAAAACAATTAGCTTTCTGTCCTCCTTTATGGCACGTGGTCTCTTACCCGTACTCTGTACTTCCCTTTCCTCTAATCTTTCCTTGTGTTATGCTGTACCCAAATGTATATTTGTTTACATATATTTTTGGCTAGATTCTACATCTGAGAGAAAATATGGCTGTTTCCCCCCTAACTGGGGATATTTCATACCAAACATGTGAGATACTGCTTTTAGCAGTATGTCTGATACAGACATAGCTTGCTAATTTCCTGTTCAGACATACCCCCCTCTTCTTCACTGCCTCTGAAGGAAAGAGACCCTCACTCTGAGTCCTATGACTAGAACTTGGATCCACCAACCCGCTGCAGTTTCTTGGTCCTGGGGACTCTATTGCTTTGGGTTTTCTTTGGGTTTTTGTTTTTTCTCTGCCAGTTAAAGATTTAAAAGGCAGGAAAAAAGTCTTGAGTGCAACAAATAGCAGCAGGGAAATTTTTTAACACAGAAAACAGCATTAGCTGGTGAAAAAACGCATACACAGCAAGCCCACAGAGACCCTCTGTACACACAAGCCCACAGAGACCCTCTGTACACACAAGCCCACAGAGACCCTCTGTACACACAAGCCCACAGAGACCCTCTCCAAAGCAGAAGGGGGCTGAGAACTAAAAAAAAAAAAAAAAATCTAATCTCCAGGTGGTGGTGGTGGTCCACACCTTTAGTCCTAGAACTCAGGAGGCAGAAGCAGGTGGATCTCTATGAGTTCAAGGCCAGACTGGTCTACAGAGTGAATTTCAGGTTAGCCAGGGCTACACAGAGAAATCCTGTGTCAAAATAAAATGAAATAAAATAAATCCAGCCTCTTCTCAATGGCTAGGGGTTTTTAAGTCTTTGATGAGTCTTTCTCCCATAATTTAGGGTTGGTAGCAGCTTGGCTCACAACTATTATGTAAGCATATACAGATCCTGTTGAACTCCTAGGCTGGTCCATCAGCAGAGGCCCAACTGGTGGAAAAAAATAAGTAAACAAATAAACATAGCCCTCCAGACCTGTTCTTTCTAAAGCGGCCAGGCTTATGTCTCAGACCAGGAGGATGAGGAAGAAGTCAGCCATCTTGGAAGTTTGCCACCTTTACACGCTAGATAGCCCTCTCCCTGTCTGCCTCCCAGACAGACAGTGTCTTAGTATTTTAGCATACCCAGACTGACAGTGACTAAGCATTGATGTAACCACAGTGGAGTCTTCCACTGTTGCATAACCATAGCAACACATTTTATAAATAGGATACAGAGAGCAGTAACCAGAAAATCCGATATATTAGATGACAGTTAAGAACTTTTTTTCCTTTTGTGGGGATGGGGGACCATTGAAAAGGCAAGCCACAGAGAAATTCCCAACACTTGCAAAACCCAGAATATATAAAGAATTCCTCTGAGCTAATGGGGTGAGGAGAAGGAGCCAGAGAAATGGCTCAGCAATTAAGAGTGCTTGCTGTTCTCCTAGAGCAGTGATTCTCAACCTGTGGGATCGCCACACCTTTGGCAAAGCTCTGTCTCCAAAGTTTTACATTACCATTCATAGCAGTAGCAAAAGTACAATTGTGCAGTAGCAACAAAAATAATTTTATGTTTGGGAGTCACCACAACATGAAGAACTGTATTAAAGGCCTCAGCATTAGGAAGATTGAGAACCACCACTCTAGAGGCCTGAGTTCATTTCCCAGAGCTCAGCCCTGGCAGTTTGTAACTACCAGTGACTCCAGCTCTAGGAGGTTCAACACCCTCTTCCGGCCATCAAGGGTAGGTACCTGTACATATGACATGGTAAGCATAAACACGCATACACACACACACACAAAGAGTACTCTGGCACACACAGAATAAGACCTTGGGGCCCCCAGCCCTCCTGCCCTGAGCCATGCTTACCTTTGTGGATTTCTAACTGTACAGGGTCACTTAGCATTGAGAGGCCAGTCCGGCAGCTATATTCACCACTGTCCTTGAGCATGGCCTTGGTGATACTGTAACCAGGCGTGGAGATCGGGAGGATTGTGCCGTTGATAAACCACTGCGTGGAACTGTCTCCGGGCAAGCGGGACCCCTCACACCATAAAGTGACATTTTCCTTCAGGAAAATACTGACCCATGGAGGCTGCAAGGTGACCACAGCCTTTGTGACATTTACTGTAGGAAAAAGAGGACAGCAACAACAGAGGGAACTCTAAGGGGAGCTAAAAGCAAGAACCGTGAGTGACTGGAAACATGTTGCACGCACAAGCGGGGGACATGTATATTTGGGTTAGTTTGAAAAAATCTCTCAAGTAGAAACCCAGGAAGCCAGTCAGCCTTCCAGCCTGGACTCTGCTGTGGGAGTTCTTCTGGGTTATTACACCCCACCAGGTGTTAGGATTTGGTGGCTGCTGATGAAACCAGCCGGGGTTCAAACCAGAGCAAACTGCCTCGAGCCAGTTTCCCTACACTCAGTGCTAAGCTGTCTTTTGTGGTGGGGAGGATCTTTACCTGTTTCTTCACTGGAAACTGAGGCTCAAGCCCTTGAAGCCTTCCTGTCTGAGGTGGGAACCTATCTGTGTTCTCAGGAAAGGGACAGGCTTGAGCAGCCAGTGGAACCCAGCCTGGCACAGTTGCTTCTGGGTTTCCCCGACTCATACAGAGACAGTGACTAAGACATCTTACTCTTGCCTGTCTTCCCCCTGCTCTTCCCTCCAGGACCAAGGAACCCGCCCTTTGAAAGCAGGACGGCGACAGAAGATGAAAAGTTGATGGAGGGTACTCACCCGCTTGTCCACCAACTGGAACTGCAAGAGACCAGAGACACAGACATCAGTTGGTGACTAGAAGACAATGATGACGAAGGGAGGATTGGGAAGAGAGTTCATATCACCTTTGAGGGCCCTGCCGGAGTCTATTAAGAGACTCTCCATCCCTCTTTCCCAAAATCAAGTGCCTGCAGAATGGTGGCTGGCTATTCATGATGCTGTCTTTATTCTGATGGCAGCTTGCAGGCTTAGTGCCACCAGATGTTTCCTTCCCATCCTTTGGAAATAAGCACCAATAAACTATTGGATCATTGATATAGCAACCTTCAGACTTGAGTTCTAGGCTAACATACCAAATGATGACAAAAGAAATCTTGACTCAACATGACCAGAAGCCAAGTCCCCCAGCAAGCTTCCCTAAGCCCAACTTACCCCAAAGGAGCAGGGTTGTTAGAAGCCACATGTCACCTCCAGCTGGCAAAAGTCTGTAATGTGTAAGACATTGAAGAGGCTCTATCAGGGGCTAGGAACCAGGGTTAGAAAAGAGGAAGGAAATGCCACTTCCTCCCACTTGCATTACGGTTGTGTTCCTTTTTCTGGAAAATACATCCTTAGTTCTTTCTTCCCCTCTAACAGGGTTTCCCGTAGCCCAGGTTGCCCTCACATTTACTAAGTAGCCAAGGATGACCTTGACTCCTGATCCTCCTTCCTCTACCTCCCAAGTGCTAGAATTATAACCTTGTGCCACCATGCCTAGCTACATATCGCTCCCACTCCTCTCTCCAAGGTCTTACTGTAGCCCTGATAGCCTGAAACTCATGTAGATCAGGCTGGCCTTGAATTTCCAGAACTCCACCTGCCTTTGCCTCCCAAGTAATATTAAAACTGTGGACTGCTGTTCCCGGCTTCCCATCCCTGATTTCTCCATTCTCAAAGCCCAGAGCCCATCCCTCTGTGTCTTAAACTCTGTCCTGAGTTTGTTTGCTCACTTTGTCTCACAAATGCTCAGAATCATTGGAAAGATTCCAATTTTAGTGACACTCCATTCTGATTATTTTCTTCCTCTACTATTTGTATTTCTTAAGGAATGACTATGACAAAACTCCATTTTACAGACTGTGTAATTTTATCATTTGGGTCCAGAAACTTCTTACATCAGCCTCTCTGAGAGATATGAAGAGTCCCCCAACACAAACCAGCCTCTGTTCCTTGGGCACACAGGGAACATCAACCATTCACAGCAGTGAAAAGTGAAGTCAACAGTAAATAAGCCATCTTCCTGAAAGATACCCTGGATTTATAACACTCAGCCTAAATCCAAGGAAATGGAATGCTTACTGTAAATATCATTACGAAGAAAATTAACTTAGACAGGTAGACAAGAATATCCCTAGGAAGGGAGCATCCAGGTTCAAGTTAGCATCTGTGCCCTCAGTCAGAGTGGCTGTAAAGATCTACTGATTCTAGGGATTCTGTTAGGAGAGAAAGACAGTTAAACAGAAAGTGGGGTGAGTTCAGTGAACACAGTGGGACTTGAATAGCAATCTCACGGGCAGGCGGTGAGAATAATGGTAAGAGCTGCTAACTGCCTTGGCCCCATGAACAGGTAAAGATGCAATCTGGACTCTCTACTGTGACTCATCCACTTGGTTTCCATTGGCCAAAGAAATGTGGATGGGAACATCATGTTAAACCTGAATTTAGAGCTAAAAGCATAACATCATCTCTCTCACTTGGCTGCTTCTGTGGTTACCAAGGTTAGAGTGTTCTCTAGCTAGCCAACCTCGGCATAGAACCGTCTGCAGTAGCCATGTAGTCTGAAACAGAGCTGGGCCAGTGGGCTACAAGCTTGCCAGGAGAAATGGATACTCACTGTCGTAGTTCACTAGATTTAAAGGTTGCTACAGTGGGGTAGCTGGCTAACACACATGACTGCCAAGAAGAAAGATTTGGAAAGAACTCTGGGTATCCTGAGAGAGACAGGTAAGACAATCCACTGAGATTCCATCAAATACTGTTTTCATAATTGATACACTATTTGCTTTCCAGGGTTTTCTGCTGCATGAATGCACCATAATTTATTTAGTCAACTTCTCTTCAGGCACATGCAGCCTGTTGCTAATCTAGTCATTATGACCAGAACTGCAACATCTTTAAATTTTGAATTATTATTTCCTTAGGACACATTCCTAGACTCAGATAAATACTACTAGAGGTGAAAATGGTGGAGCATGTTTATAATCCCACACTTGGGAGGTGAGGCAGGAGGATTGTGAGTTTGAGGCTAGCCCCTGCTGCCCAGCAGGACCAGCACACACAGAAAGACATCAGATTATTTATCAGCATAACTTATATTTGTATGTTACTAATGCACCAGGCAATTATTCTTCTTATGTATTTTCTCACTTATTCCTCACAGTTACCTAGAAGTGGATGCTATTGTTGCCTCCATTTTACAAGTGAAAAAAAAAAAAAGAATCAATTCAATTACTTGTGGAGTGTGTGTGTGTTGTGTGGATGACAAGTGACATATAAATTATACGTGTGTGTGTGTGTGTGTGTGTGTGTGTGTGTGTGTGTGCATTCAAAACCAGGCAGTTAGATCTCCTTCGCATTCTCATGAACAGAATATAACAGTGGCCCCTGCACCCCTGGAAATCCCAAAGTGGTGTACTGTCATGATCAAGTTAACACTGGGGGTAAGAACTGCTGAGGTCCAGGGATGAACACCCATGCACCTGTGACCTGAAAGGATAAAATGCTTTTTTTTTTTTTTCCTAATAAACATCTGTAGTTTCCAAATGAAATACCAGCCATAAATCTAAATCCATGTAAGAAAGGACTAGGGTCATGGGACACATCTCATAATTAGCCAGACAGTGGTGGCTAGCGATTAACGGCCAATGAAACGCACAATGCCCACAGGGGTCATGGAAGAATCCACACATATGTGTGACATGGACATGTCCACATACAGATGATCTGTTTCAATAGCCTCACTTTCACATGTTCACGGTTTTAAAATTGCTTCCGGACACTTCTCAAGAGTGAGTGCAGAGATACTTGATGATGTCTTCTCTACCGTGGAAAATTGCCTGGGGTTGATTGTTTGATACACCTCTAAATTAAGGTAATTTGAACCTCACAAAGAACTGACTAAAATTGTTTCACACATTTATTTTAAAAAGCAGCCAGTAATGCTTACTCAAAGAGTGTGTGTGTGTGTGTGTGTGTGTGTTTTATACAGGGTCTCATGCATCCCAGGCTGAAGCTGACCTTGAACTTCTAATCCTCCTGCCTCCACCTCAAGAGTAATAGGAGGACAAATACCATCTGCCACCATGTGGTTTATACAGGGCTAAAGATGGAACCCAGGGCTCATGTGTGCTAGGCAAGCACTCTGCCAGGTGTTACATCCCCAACCCCACAGGTCTTTCTTTAATGACCATATGTTTTAGGAACTAAAATGTTTCCATTAAATTTTATAGTTAGTGGAAATTGTACATAATTGGGCTGGGAGATACATGGCTCTACAGTTATAGCACTTGCCAGGCAAGCTTGAAGCCTGGAGTTTGAATCCCCAGAAACCTAAGTATGTTGTGGATGGGTGTGGCTTCCTTTAAACCCAACCCCCAGAATGCACAGACCTGGATGCCTCAAGGGAAACTAGCTAGCAAGATGAGCTGTATCTGCAAGCACTGTGTTTGATTGAGAGACTCTGACTTAATTAATAAGGTGAGCGAGTAATAGATGATCAACCTCTGGCCTGAATTCACATGCATGCACAACACATCACACTCTGCCATAGACATGGGCAAAAACATGCACACATACGCCTGCATACAACATGAAAACCAGAAAAATAAAAAAGTTGCACATAATTATCAAAATTACAATTATGCTTAATAAGTGTTATATATGGCATTATTTTTTAACATTGCTGAGAACTGAGCCACTGACTACATCCCCAGCCCTTTAACAGTTTTTAACCAGGTAAAATAGGCAGCTTTGGAGTGTGAACTAATACAAGAAGACCTTTAGCAGAAGATTCACATGAAGCAGGCATTGAAAGACTTAAACTAGCAAAGCAATGAAGTGAAGCCCAAATAATTGGAATGCTGGGCAGAATTTGCTAACCACTGGCCCTGAGATAGCAGGATACCAAGAATTCACACTGCCCCTCCTTTCCGTGAGTCAGCAGGTGGTAAATAGGGTCCTTAAGAAACAAAGAAATAGCTGCAACAAGATTAATTAGCACACCCCAAGGCCCTAAGGTCTGTTGGTTCACGTACTCAATGGACAGAGGGTCACACCCCCTCCCTAAGCTTGTAGGTTTTGCCTTTAAAAACACCTGTGCCTGGGGAATGGGGCTTCTCTCTGGCCTGTGCGCTGAGGGAGCCCGTTTGCACAAACGATTCCTGTTCATTAAAGCCTCTTGCGTGTTGCAGCAACTGGACTGGACATTGAGTTTTTGGGGGTACTGACAGAAACTGGGAGACTCCTCATTTTGAGGGTCTTACAGCATGCCATTTTCCTTCAACTACCGTTCATGTTAATACAAAGTCCTCACCAGAAACCATTGATGTCTCGATTCTGCTGTATCTATCTTTTCTGGTTTAAACATATTCAAATGAGAGCAACTCTAGAAATATGTCTTCAGCTGAGTTTTTGTGGCGGCCTTTAGAGTTTGTGGTTCTGAGATTTCCTCTCTAGGCTGTTTCAATTCTAGATGAGCATGTCCTTTCTTCTGACTCCACCTTGGTCATCACGAACACTTCATCAAACCGTTTGTCTGTGTGTAAGATCCATTTCTTCTTACTTTTACTATTACATACATATTTTCCATTATCCCTAGAGAGACACAGTCACTGTGCCTTATTTTCTTTATCTAGAAACAGGAATTTCACATGAATCTCCCCTCCAGCTTTTAAGTTTCTGATGGTTCAAGCCAGGGCACTATTCAAAGACCTTCACTGAGTCCTGTCCACAGGAGGTTGCTGGGTCATAGAGCTTAATGTCCCTAGTCTTCCTTGTCCCCCCAGCAGCATCTTGGGATCTCATTAAAATATCTTCAGAATCATAGCAACAGAATAGGAGGGCATTGTAGTAGGAGTAGGGGGTGCAGAAAAGGGACGTAAAGAGGTTGCCCACATATTCTTCCCACAAAGTATTTCAAGTTTATCCCAGACAGAGCACACAGTGGCCTTGGGACGGATAACTCCAGTCTCTTTGAAAGACTAAGGTAACTTCAGTTTATTCTGACCCCGTTTCCTGTTTGCTTAGGTAACTCTCAGTGCTTTCCCTACCTCCCCACACAGTCACCTCTGCTGGTGGTGCTGATCCCACCAAGTGAGAATGAAAATCATCATCCAAATTAAAGACAATTGAGCAGGCTTTATTTACTATGCATAGGACTGGCTCCCCTAAATAGGATTTGAGAGTACAGTGTGGGTGAACTTTTCAGGCCTCCTTTTATAGGGAAAAAGTGTAAACTGGGGGATTTTGTAGGCTTTATTTATTGCATTTTGACTTTTCTACTTTACTTTCATATTTTCAAGTCTGTCTTTATTACATAGTAAAATTTTATGAAATTGGGGATCCATTAAACATCATTTGCTTCAGCTCCACAACTTCTTAAAATGCAGAATGTCAACTTTGTGGTAAGTTGTGTTATTAAGTGCATGACAATGTGTCTACATTTGTCCAGTTCTAGTTTTTCTTTGGTTGTTTTTGTCCTTTTCTCACATATATATTCCTTCAAGGCTATCACTAAATGCCTGAGGTTTTAATTAGCACACAAAGTAATAGGCTTCACCCTGTTTTCACAAAGCCCCCCCAGAGCATCCCCATCCCTGTGCTCCTGCTGGGCCCTCCCCTCATCAGCCCCCTTCTCTTCCAAACTTCACGTACTCCATCCCTCTCTTTGTTTTCCAGCCCTTACTTCTTGAGACCCCTGCAATCCTCTTTCTAGTTGTATGACCTGTTTTTGTTAGTTTTGCTTTTATCCTTGCTGTTCTATCTCTGCTCCTTTCTGTGGTTCTGTCCCATCTCTTTGTTATGTTTGGTTTGTGACAGGGTCTTGCTGTGTAACCCAGGCTGGCCTCAAACTCATAATCACCCCAGCCCCTTTAGTGATTGGATGATGGTACACAACCCCGATCTGCCTGTTCTTTTTCTGATTACCCCAGTCCTATACTTACAGGGTTCATGTTAACCATTTCTAATGAATAATGAGTTTCCTTTTTATCCTAACTACTGTTTTATCTTAATCCAATCCTATAACTTATATTTATCTCTTTTGTTATCGTCATTGTTTTGTAGTGTGTGTGTGTGTGTGTGTGTGTGTGTGTGTGTGTGTGTGTGTGTTTTCGATTTCAAGGTTGGGTTTCTCTGTAGTCCTGGCTGTCTTGGAACTCACTCTATAGACCAGGCTGAACTTGAACTCAGAGATCCGCCTATATCTGCCTCCCAAGTATTGGGATTAAAGTTATGTGCCATCACTACCTGGCTACTGTTTGCTTTTTCTATTTCCATTTTCATCTTCTCAGTATATAGAATGTTACACACTATGGTGATTTTGCCAAAAGTTCACATGGGTGTTTTATATAAGAATGGTGATGACTACCAGGATGAAACCCTCAGAGAAAGTGCCCCTCACCACCCTCAGCTTCTGGTCAGCGACAAAAGAATTGTTGCCTAAAGTCCATATGGCATGGACTCCCAATGTAGATGTTTGTTGTTTTTGAAACAGAGTCTCAAGCTGGTTCAAGCTGGCTTCGAACCCCTTATGTAGCTGAGTAGCTGAGGCTGGCCTTGAATGTTTCGTCTTCTGAGTTCTGGGATTTAGGTGTGCACCACCTTGCCTGATTCAGACTGTTTGTTCTTTTAATTGTGTATGTGTGGGGGCGGGTGTGTGGGTGTATGGATGTGAGTGCAGTACTCACAAGGGCCAAAAGAGGGCGTCAGATCCCCCGGAGTTGGGAGTCACCTGATGCCGGTGCTGGGAGCTGATCTCAGGTCCTCCACTGAGCAATCCCTTCAGCCCCTGGGTGGTTTGTTGTTATTGTTTGGGGCTTTGCTGTTGTTTGCTTTTACTAGAGACTCTATTTTATCATCTTTTCCTTTAAACTATCTCAACTAAGGCAGACTCGTCTGTGAAGGTCTTATCGTGTTTGTGTGTGTGGCGTGTATTCAGCTTGATTATCAACTACCCAACACTGGACATATATACAAGAGAAATAACCTGTCTTAAGACAACATACTCCAAATTTTCAAGAACTTTTTTGGTGGCGATGTCGTTCTGTCCTTCTTAATATTCCCAGGACTTAATGAATGGATAAAGTTGATGGTAGTCCCAATGTAGCAACCTATGGGGTGAGGCAAACTAAAGGAGCAGTGGGGAAACTTCGCTGTGACTGAAATCAGCTGTCTGAAGAGCACTTCACATACATTACGGCACCACTACACAGCTTGCATTAGTGAGTGGCGGATGTGCCCCATCACAGCTCCTGCAGGACCCAGTCCAGGCAATGAGCAGCCTTGGCCCTCTGTCCCAGCTTGGGGAGTCTCAGAACTTCCAAAAGCTCTCAACTCAGAACTAGTGTGGCCAATGGACTTGGCGAGACCTTGCTGTGAAATAGTCATCTGTAGGGAAGTTTGGGATTCAGGGAGATCAAAAGGGATCCACACAGTAGAGCACTGTCCCTGAGTATGCCTGCTCAGTTGCTTCACTTTTTAAGGGTTTTAGCCAGTCTGTGGGTCAGGCTGAACCTTCCTTGAGGGAGGGCCGTGGCAGTCAGCAGCACTCTTCCATGGCTCCCGCTTCAGTCCCTTCCTGCAGGCTCCCGCCTTGGCTTCTCTCCATGGTATATTATAACTGTAAACTGAAATAAGCCCTTCCCCCACAACTTACTGTTGGTTACCGTGCTAACATCACAGCAACGCAAGGCATTAACAAAGGAAGGGCCCAACTGTTTCTGCCCACTGCTGACCAGCAAGGCGTGGGTAGAACCCTTTCTCCCTAGAGCTTCATGTGAGAAGAGATGAGAAGAGGAGAGCAGACGCGGTTCCTATGTTCTAATCATACCCTCTCCGGCTGGACTATTCACCTTCAGACCCGAGTCTCTACTATGGAGGAGTCACCGTCAGTAACATTCCCCAGATTTCTTTCCTGTCTTCAGAGTCAGCAACAACTGCCAAACAAGACAGATGAGATTAAAAGTCTGTGAGAACAAGAGCTGCCTAGATCTTTATTCTCCCCACATGGTTATGGTGATTAGTTTAGCTCAGAAATCTCCCATGGAGAGGCTATTTTCTGACTATAAGACCTTCGATGGCCATCTCCTTCAAGCCTTTAAGAGTGATTTCTCTCTCACACTCATACAGACATGCTGTTTTTGTAGCCCTTCTTTCTCCTTTCTGTGACCAAACCATTGTTGTTTTGTCAAGGCTTCTGAGATGAGTCCTAACGAAGGGTTCAACCATTCGGATCCTCTGTTCTCTACCAGATCTGGGTAAAAGCCCAACCAACATATTTAAGACATTTAAGGAACAAAAAAAAAAAAAACCCAAAAAACAAAAAACAAGCAGAAAACCAATCTCTTTGTGTTGTTTAGAAGAAACAGTGACAATTACAGGAAGGACATTTGCTTCTGTTGCTCAATTGAATCACAAGTTTCCCCATTTCCGGGGCCAGCTCTTTTTATAAATTTCTTCATGGTGTGGTTTGAGAAAACACCCTGAACTCCTTTACATAATAGGAAGATTACTTTTTGCTGTGTTCACACAGAGGGAGGTCCCCTCATCGTGCGTGAGCGAACGTGCATTTGTTACACGCTCAGCATTTTTCACTTCTGTATCAGAGTCCACACATTCATAAACAAAGAGTCAATGCCCTGATTCATTTGTGTGTTGCTTTGTAAGGACACTCAGGTGATATCATCAAAATGCTCGATGATGAATCCAAAGGTAAGCACATAACTGAATAGCAGAGCTTCCTTCCATTCTTGTCAACCCAGAGGGCAATTTGGATCCAAAATTAGAAATATGGCATTCTCTTCAGTTTCTGGCTAATGTATCTTGTGTACAAATATTTACTTAATGATATATTTGAAAACACTGCCACTAGACTAAAATACATTAAATGTAATTTTGATTCTATTTGTTTGGTTGTTTGTTTTTGAGACATTATAGTAGCTCTGGCTGTCCTAGAACTCTTTTTGTAGACCAGGCTGACTTCAAACTCATAGACCTTTGCCTACCTCTGTCTTCTGAGTGCTGGAACCAAAGGCATGCATCTTAATGGGAAAATAGGAAAAATTAACTCAATATCCAACATAGCTTAAAGAGACTAACTTCATATAAGCAATAAACAAAAATTAAATAAGTATCTTTTCTTTACAGAAAGATTTCTTATATTTACCAAGGAGAAAGAAAAGATTTTATGTAGATCATGGTCAGTGGAGGAGAGAATGGAGACTCCATGTCACACAGGCATTTGACATCAGATTTAAATGTGATTAACATTTTCCTTTACCCTAAGACTTTCCTCAAATAAAAACTAACCACAAGAAGGCTCTCTAGAACTCTGAGATAATGGCCATGCGTGGCAGATTAATACCTGAAGAAAATACTGTCTTGTAATTCCTTTGCTTGTCACAAATATGCAAAGCAGAGTGTTCAAGAGTCATCTAAGCATGGCTCAGGCTATAATCTCAGCACTTGGAGTATGGAAGCAGAAGGATCAGGAGTTCAAGGCCAGCCTGGACTTCTTGGGGCTCTGTTTCAGAAAACAGATGCCAAACATGTATGTATATCTATTTTTAACATATATTTTTTATTTATTTGGGGTGAAAAGCATCATGCTAAATATAAATGAGTCATCCAAGAGTATACAACTTCTCGGCAGCTATTATTAATTAAGTGATCGTGTGAGGGTGGCAGGTACCAAAAGCTAACACTCACTATGGACATACTGTAGACATTTTACAGGAATCCCCAGGTCCATTACCCATGAATAGGAGAGGCCTGAGACCTAGGAACAGAAACTGATCAAACCCAAGATTTGAACTGTATCTTTCTAGAGCAATGGTGTTATAACCCTTTAATATAGTTCCTAATGTTGTGGCAACCCCCAACCATAAATTGTTTTCTTTGTTACTTCATAACTGTAATTTTGCTACTGTTATGACTCAAAATGTAAATATGTGTTTTCCAGTTATCTTGGGGGTGGTGACCCATTGATTTGAAACTGCTGCTCTAGAAAATGCCATTTAGTATATTTTGATTTTTCAAAAATATTATTCACAATAATAAAAAGAGCTAACTGCTTTTAGTTTCAAGTGTTTATAGGTCAAAAAGGGATTGAGCAGGCTAGAATTCATGTTGCTAGAACTCATTTTTTTATTTTGATAACTCCATTGCTAGAGGCCCTCTGTTAACTACTGGTTATGTAGATCAGAAAATTTCCTCCCACTTAGGTTGTGAGGGATGGATCTGTAACATGAAAAATAAATGCCCAGAGTCAGATATTGGGGTTCAAGCTTCAAGCTAAAAATCAGAGAAGCAAATCTGCCAAGCTCTTATGTCTATCTCCACTAATCCTCAGAGGCAAAAAGCTGAGTTCCTGCCTCCTCCTGCCTTATGTTCCTTTCTCTGCCCAGCCATATCACTCCTGTCTCCACCTCCCTAGTGCTGGGATTAAAGGCATGTGATCCCAAGTGCTAGCATCAAAGGCATGAGCTCTGTTACTATTCATTCCTGTGTAGACCAGGGTGGCCTTGAACTCAGAGAGATACATCTGCCTGTTTCCTGAGTCCTAGGATTAAAGGTATATGCTACTATTGCCTGGCTCTATGGCTTGCTAGTAAGGATGCTGGGATTAAAGGTGTGTACATTATTGCCTGACCTTTATGGCTTGTGGTTAGCTTTGCTTTCTGAACCCTCTGGCAAGCTTTAATTAATCATAAATAATGTATCACCACATGGATCAAATCATTTCAGTTGCTCCTTACTTCCAAAGGTCTAAGTCCCAAGAAAACAACTTCATGGTTTGTTTTCCAGTTGACACAATTCACCATCCAAGAACTCTTCCTAAGCTTGTAGCTCAGACTCAGCTTGCCTTAAACCTTACAGGCTCTATGAAAAGTAATGTCCACATATTTTTAAATATCTGAGCTCTGAAGACAGCCTGCACTTAAAGGGTAAGAATGCAAGGAGCTGGAGAGATGGCTTGGGGTTAACAGCACTTTCTACTCTTGCAGAGAAACCAGGTTCAGTTCCCAGCACCCACATTGGGCATCCCACAACCACCTGTGGTTCCAGAGAGATCTGATGCCTCTGGCCTCTGTGGGCACCTGCCCTCATGTACATATGCCTACACATAATTAAAAATAAAATCAATTATTTCCTTAAAATGTATGTGCCTCTAATCTCAGCACTCAAAAGATTAAAACAGAACAGAAGGATCAAGATCGTGAACTACACGGCAAGAAAAAGGTAAACAGGAAGCAGTCACAATGACAGTTGGCAGACCCAACATTAAATTATGCATGAACCTGTAGTGCAGGCTCCACGATGGCTGGGGCACTTGAACATCAGTATCTTGGTATGTCTTAGTCTAAGACATTCTTTACCATTGGAAATAATCCGGGGATTATGACGTAGTCCAGTCATAACCCCAGAGCATTGGGAGGACACAATGGTGGACAGTTACTCTTAGTGAACACTCTTCCCACACTTTGTACGAGCTCCAGAATTACTTTGACAGCAGTACTGGTCCAGCTCCTAACCCTACTCTGGGAAGCATGAGCACCTGCTGAGAAGCCTCACTTTTGCTTTATTTATTTTTGCAATGCATATGCAAAGATAATAATAAGCACTAAGGTACTAGGAATTGATTCTCAATATGTCAGTGATAGGAAAAATTTCAGAAAAATCCATAAAATATCCCACCTAAAATTGCTCAGCAAACAAGTATCTGGAAGAGATTTACCTAGAAAGAGGTTTTCTTAGTGTCAGCTAAACATTCAGGGTTCCAAGAGGCTCAGGGACCACACGAGATACCAGTCAATTAGAAGGACCAAGTATAAGAACCACAGCTTACTTTAAAAGGGAGGAGGAGAGGTGGGAACAGGAACTGCTTCCCAGGTGACCATGCTGTGGGAGGGGCTGATCCACCCCTCACCTGCCTTATTGGGGCCAGGGTAGGGGTAGGGTGGAGGGAGGTGACAGCTAGGAAGCTGCTTTAGAAAACCAGGTCCCAATGAGCCATTATCTCTGTTAAGAGTGGTTTCCAGTGTCTACACAGGTGTGTGCATCTTACCTGCATCTCATACTCAGAAACTCTAAACCCACCCTCTCACCAGGGGCTAGGCCTTTTCCCCTGAACCAGGTGCAGTCCATCACTGGAGGTAAGGCATCAATAAATCCAACTGTTGCTTGAACCAGCCAGCCTCCCGTTTTAGGCTTGAAAGCCATTTTACAATAAAGGCAAACCAGATTAAACCTCTGTTTCTTAAGGATTAGGTTATGCACCACCTGTAACCTTAACTACAAATGGTTCTGTACTACTACAAACGGTTCCAGGAAACAGCAACCATGTCTTTTTGTTTCAAAAAGTTGTTACAACCATCTTGCAACCTACCTCTGTTTCAAAAGATTGTTACTACCTTGTTCTGACCACCTTGCAATAATGACTTTGTTTCAGGAGGTCATTAGGACTAACTTGTTATGTTTATGCCTGCTCCTGTATCCCTACCTATTTTTCTCACCAAATGCCCCATTTGGAAACCCGCTGTCCTGAGCTATAAAAACCTTGTCTTCCTCACATCCAGTGCTGATCTTTTGAACTCTACCTTAGGAAAAGGCAGCCTGTGTACATAAATAAAAAGGCTTGCTTAATTATAATTAATAACTTGTTTTAATTGATTTGGCCATAGTGATTTGGATCAGTGGTCTTTCTCCTAAAACCTTTGGGATTAATACTATGAAAGTCAAAATTCTGATTATCATGTAGAGAAAGGAAAAGGTTCTGTTAACACTTTAATTATTGGAAACGATAAAAGCAGATTTAGAGGATCAAATAGAAATTACTAAATGAAATAAAAGTAACAAAATCAACACTTCAGTGGAAGAGGTTAAAGAAAAAAAAAAAAAACAGCAATTGCTCCTGAGAGTCAGTGGAAGGTAAGGAAGGAAAAGGAAAACCAAGACACAGAGCAAAGCAAGACAACACTAAACACACCCAGAGATGAAGCAAATAGATAGGGTGAGAACGAGGAGAGAGAACAGAGATTTGAAGACATGTTTCTCAGTTTTTCAGCAATAGGAAAGTGTATGTTGGACAGACAAGATGGCTACCTGAGGGTTTCTATTGCAGTGATGAAACACCATGGCCAAAAGCAAGTTTGGAGCAAAGGGTTTATTTGGCTCACACTTCCTTATCACTGTCATCAAAGGAAGTCAGGACAGAAACTAAAACGGAACAGGAACCTGGGGGCAGGAGCTGATGCAAAGACCATGGAGGGGTGCTGCTTATTAGCTTACTCCTCATGGCTTGCTCAGGACCACCAGCCCAGGGACAGCACTACCCACAATGGACTGGGCCCTCCCCATCAGTCATAAATTAATAAAATGTCCTATAAGTCTTCCTACAGCTGGATCTTATGAGACATTTTCTTAATTGTGGCTCCCTCCTCTCAGATGACTTTAGTTTGTGTCAGGTTGACATAAAACTATGTAGCACATACATAAAAATACATGAGTAATTTTCTGGTGTATGTTAGCTTTCATTACTGTGACAAAATACCTTGGATAAACAATTAGTAAGGAAGAAAAGATTATTTTGGCTCAGGGTTTGAGAGGCTTCCATCTGTAGTTATTTAGTCTTGCTGCTTTGTTTTACTATGTAAAGACATGGTGCTGGTTTGCCTTGTCAGCCTAAGGCACCCCATTGCGCTAATAAAAAGCTGAATGGCTAGTAGTTAGGCAGAGGAGGAATAGGTTGTGTGTTGTTGTTGAGACAGCCTTGAACACTCAAGTCATTTTCTTCTGCCTTCCTAGTGGTGTGATTACTGGCATGTACCATCACTCATCCATCCCAGAGCCCAAGTTTTTAACTACATGGAAACCATGAGGAAGATCTCAGGACATCCTTCTGGCACAAGGATGGATGACCGTGCAAGGGTGAGACTTTTTGTCATTGTGACCATACCCAAAAGAAACGGTTTTGAGGAGGCCAGGTTTCTTGGACTCACAACATCAGTTCATGGCCAGAGGGCTTGTTGTCATGGCCTGACATGAGGCTCAGCATCGTCGTGGGGACCGTGCAGTGAGACAGAGTAGCATCATCGTGAGGACGGTGCAGTGAGAGGATCAACATCATCGTGGGGACCATGTGGTGAGGGTGAGGGGCTCAGCATCATCGTGGGGGCCGTGTGGTGAGAGGCTCAGCATCATCGTGGGGACTGTGCGGTGACACAGAGCAGCTCGCTTCTCTGCAGACAGTAAAAGAACCCAAAGCTAAGATACTCCTTCAGGACACATCCAGTAACTCCTTCCAGCTACGCCTCATCTTCTAAAAATTTCAACACCACCCAAAATAGTGTCACCATCAGGGAACAAAGGCACAGACACACAAGCTGGGCTGGGGAAAGGTGTTTCATATTCAAACCACAATGTGTCCAAACACTTAGCCTTCTGTTCCTCAGTGCTTGCCTGCTCTTCTATCTCTCCCTCCCACCGTAGGTCAAATGGTTTCTTTATGTCATCTCCCTCATCACTGAACCAATAGTCTTCAGAGATACTGGAACCTTTAAGAAGCAGCCTTTAGTGATAGGTCTTCAGGTCACTGGGGCATGCCTTTGAGCCAGATAGTGGGGCCCTAGCGGCTTCCTCTTTCTCTTTTCCTGGTTGTGTGGTAAAGGATTTTGTCCCATAGTTGCAAAGACCGTGATATCTGGCCTCACCACAGGCCCAAAAAGCAACAGAGACTATCGAAAGCGGTCTGAAATTTCTGTGATAGTTTCTTTGTCAACCTGACACAAGCTGGAATTATTTGGGAAGAGGAAACCTCAAATGAGAAAATTTCTCCATGGGATGGCCGTCCGGTACGCAAGTCTATGGGGAATTTTCCTAATTAATGATTAATGTTGGAGGGCCCAGTCACTCCTGAGCATGTGGTCCTGGGTTGTATAAAGCAGGCTGAGCAGTCAGGTGTTCGGGCGCACGTCTTTACTCCCAGCACTCAGGAGGCAGAGGCAGGTGGATTTGGGTGAGTTCGAGGCCAGCCTAGTCTACAGAGCTAGTTCCAGGACAGGCTCCAAAGCTACAGAGAAATCCTGCCTGGAAAAGCAAACAAACAAAAGCAAGCCAGTCCACAGCAACCTCCCATGGTCTCTGTTTCAGGCCCTGCCTCCCTGCCTCTAGATTCTTGCCCAGACTACCCTTCATGAAGGACTATACATTGTAAACTTACCAGTCATGGTGTTTGTCACAGTAGTAGAAACCTGAGATAGCATCTAAAACTATGAGTTAAAATAACATGGTTCCCTTATGTTGACTTTTCTTCAGTGCTTGTTTGAAGATGAGTAACACACTCTCTATCAATAGATATAGTTTTGTTTTGACTATAGATTGGGATACAATGTTGCAAATGGACCAGAGGGTGGGGGAGGCAGTTTTTGAGCCGTTTATTTAATGAATATAAGAAGTGATTCGTGACACAGTGCAGTTAAAGACTGAGCAGTGAGTCTGAAGAGAGTCAGTAAATCTAAACAACTAAACTAGGAACAAACTAGTATCGAGACTGGGAGTCCTTGTCTAAGGGAAATGGCAAGTTCTTGGGCTGGGCAGTTAAGATGAATGTGAATGAGATGAATGCACATGGACCAGGCAGGAATAAGAACAAGTTCTGTGATGGACTGAAACTGTCAGAACAGCACCACTCATAGGAAGATCACAGTGCTGACACCTAGGTTGGTGGCATGGAATACCAACCTTGTTAGTACAAAATGCATCTGAGGTTTCCTGTAAGTTTAGGAGTTGAGACTAGGAAGTGCAAGTTTGTAGACTGGAAATTATTGCAGTCCAGTCGATGCATGTGGCCCTTAGAAGGTGTATTTGCCAAAGCTATCTGTGTCTTAGGGGTCAGGCAAAGGGCAGCTAGAACCAATCACTCTTCAAGGTGGGTGAGCATAGAGCCACTTTCTTGCAGAGCTCAGGTTTGTGATTCGGTCAGCACCTGAGCCCAGAAGCTGATGCCTTGGCTTATCAATAACAGAAGCACAATTCCACAGGGTGACTCTTGTCTTTTAAAAAGTCAGGAACTGTTCTGTTCAGCTTAATTCCCTCTTGAAGGACTGAGGAAACAGATCTCTCTCCAACATTTAAACTCTGTCAAAATAAAAACAAAAAGAAGGCACATACCGTTGTTACGATAATTAGGAGACGGATAACTCAAAAAAATCCCATAACGTGATTAACTACGAAAACCAACTCTTAACCCAAAATTTGATTATGCCTGTCTTCTCCTATATTTCCTTTAATTTTAATTCTTCTCATTTCTTCCTTGATTAGACGTCATCTCAAAAACACTGAGACAAATACTGAAGCAACTCTTTGAAAATAAAAAGTGGAGATTGGGGGTCAGAAATAAGAGGTTCATGCAACCTAAAAGCTATTTTTCGGGTTGAATTGGGTCAGACAAATCAGACACGGTTTCCACTAGTACAATGCTTGTTTAAAAGCAACTGGTTTTGATGCATTAACTACTTTTTAGTCAGTACTGAAACCAATCAAAACACACACTCTTGTTGAAGAAATTAGGTCTTCCTATCTATCATAAAGATCATATGCAAAGCATTGGTGGTTCAGTGGTAGAATTCTCGCCTCCCACGCGGGAGACCCGGGTTCGATTCCCGGCCAATGCAGTGTTTTCAAAATTCGGTTTTATACTTCTACCTAATTAATAAGAACACCATATTATCGGCAGTTTTACAGTACACTCTTGTTAGATTCGGACAGCACCAAAGACTTTGAAAATGTTGGATCTGAGGTACTTGATGCTTGTTTTCTTCCTTCAGAACCTTAGAAACCTCAGAAGACAGAAGGTTCCCAATTCCAGCTGACTATTGGGTGAAATTCCCTACAAAGAAAGGAGAGCCGATGCAGGGAGGTGGGGGGCACAGGCCCTGGGCCGATCCATTGCCCTGGAAACCCAGATTCGGAGGCGGGCGGTGGAGGGGGTTGGCCAGTTTGTCACTACCGCTAGCCACCGAGCTCTCCATGTGTTCACAGGCCCTTTGGAAGAAGGAATGAGCCCATATCTCTGACAGTGTATGCCATCAGAATCGGCCCAAAAACTGTAGTTTTAATAAGAAAAAACAAGGTACAGAATTTGAGCTTTGTTTCTTAAAACGTGTACACTTTCTAAATATTTGTCCTTACAACTGCAGATGAGTGTAGTCCTCTCCCCTCATCAACGAAACTTCTTTTTACAACGATGGCGGCCGATACAGAAAAACACAACTCGTCAAAATGCAAAATTGTGGAGCCCAGTTCCAACGTATGAATCTACAAGACACTCCAAGGCGCAGGGAACTTTTCAGGAGAGGTGGCAGAGATCAGGGAGTTTGCTGTGAGTCTGTGGATGTCTCACCAACACGACTGCCTAAACATGAACTGAACAAGTACAATACACGTGCCAACGTGGACAGGGAGCCCGCGAGGCCTCAACCCTACACAAAGAACTACAGGCAACTAAGGAATGCTGGGGGCAGGGGGTCTTTTCCCAGAGAAGAGTACACCAGTGATCAACCCTGAAAACATTATACAGTAATGTATATACAAGTAATATTATACAGAAATGAGCAGGGTGTATTTACGTATTTAGAAATATATACACATAGCAATACAATGAATATGTGTGTAACGACAATTAATGAAAAAAGAGACCGCAAATTTGAAAGAGAGCGAGGAGAGGTGTATGGGAAGGTTTGGGGGTTGGAAGGGAAGGGGGAAATGACGAAACTTCATTACAATCTCAACTAATAACTATTTAAAAGAGAGAGAGAGAGAGAGAAAAAAAAAAAAGAATAGTACCGATTCAACAACAAGCTGTACTGGAGCTCTGGGTGGGGGTGGGGGTGAGCCTCACATAGGTCCCACCAGGGCAGACCCGGGTGGCAGATTTGCCGCAGGGCGGGGCAGGGCCTCTGAGCTTGGGAACGTTAGGAAAGGGGGGAAAAAATCGGCTGCTGTTCAGAATTCAGAGCGCAAGTTTCAAAGCACAAGAACTAATGGATTCGCCACTCCCAATACTCCAAGTTTTTAAGGAGCTGGAACTAACCCAGGAATTTTACAAGAGCTGTGCGTTATTGGCTAACGGACAACTCACTCTCCAACAGAACATGGCCAGGGAGGCTGCTGTGTCTCTGTGGCGCAATCGGTTAGCGCGTTCGGCTGTTAACCGAAAGGTTGGTGGTTCAAGCCCACCCAGGGACGCTGTATGGATTTTATGTAAAGTCTACAATGGTTGGGAATTTTCCTCTTGTGGCCTCTTATTCTAAGAGAAAGTCTTCAAGTCATTGGCTGCTGTAAACTGAGCAGGGCTCCCTTACCTTGAGGGAACCCTTTTTGGTCTTGGACAAGAGAAAATGTTCTGTACCAATAATATTTGGTTTTGGTTTTGGTTTTGGTTTTGGATTTTGGATTTCCTGGCAACTGTAATGTGACTATAATAATTCGTACTACATTATCTCCAGGACAAGCTGACTTTAATAATTACTCCATCCCATGACGCTGCCAGGAAAGGCAAAGCTCATCATTATCATGCTTGCCTAATATGCCTGAGCTCTCAGTTGATCCCAGCACTTAAAATAAGTTACTTGAAGACCTGAGTTTATGGCTGAATGGATAAGGATATGTGTTGCTCTTGCAGAGGACCCAAGTTTGGTTCCCAACACTTATGCCAAACAGCTCATCATGCTATTAGCCAGAAAATCTACCAGTGTCTGGCCCCTATGGGCATCTATGCACACATACACAAATTGTTTTGTAAAGTCCAGTAGCTCTGGGTCTCTTCTTCCTCTGTTGGGCCATTATCGATTCCTATACACGTTGCTTTTTAAATTAAGCTATTTCCATCATTTAATGCTCACACTCAATGCTACAGTAGCCATTCTTGTACTAATACTGTCTACCAGTTGTACATGTTTCTAGAAGACTGAGCCCTAGACTTACAAATGTTATGCCACAGGGATTATAGGATATGTGCTTCTCAGTAGCAAAACCTTATACATTTATTTTCCATCAATGTGGAGCCAATTTGTATTACAATTTATTTTGTTAAATAAAAAAAAAAACTGCAACTCCTACTAGGCTAGCAAACTGCTTTCTATACATCTAGGAATGGCATTCTATAGTGTCCATCTTCTATGAAATGGGAGGGAAGGCACAACACACAGCAAGGGCTAAGTAGGGTATCTCCCTATCTGCCTATCAGCTACATCTTCAAGGTATTTGGTATGATTGTAATTTTCTGGTGACCCTTGCATTGCTTTGTACTAACTGTCTTACCCAAAAGGAGAAACATGTCACTGACCCCTGGTGTTTGTACCTCCTCTCTCTTCTGTCGATGACAAGAGCGAATCAATATAACATGCTCTGTTATTCAGAGTTTTCCAGAGGAACAGAACCAACTTCTATCTATCTACATGTTGATCAATCAATATTTATTTTTAAGAAATTGGCTCACATAATTGTTCAGGCTTGGCAAATCCCAAATAGGCTGTGTGATCTGGCAAATGAATTCCAGAAGAGTTTTGGTTTAAGTGTGTCTTCTAGGACTAGTAATGTAATGTTAGAGTTATGTAAGTGTGTGTGTGTACATATATGTGTGTGCATATATTACATATATATATATATTTAATTATGTAAAGATGCATTGTTGTTTTGACTTGCCTGCCAAAGGCACCTGATTGGTCTAATAAAAGGCTGAATGAATGGCCAATAGCGAGGGAGAAGGCATAAGTGGGACTTCCAGGCAGGGAGAGTAAGTAGGAGGAGGAATTTAGGCCCAAGGTACAAAGAAAAAGAGATGTTAGGGATCAGCCAGACAGACACAGAGAAAGCAGAAAAGTAGGACATACAGAGCGAAAGAAAGGTGAAAAAGCCCTGAGGCAAAAAGTAGATGAATAGAAACAGGTTAAATTAAGCTTTAAAAGCTAGTGAGACAAGTCTAAGGCCAAGCATTCATAAATAAGTCTCTGTGTGTTTATTTGGAAGCTGGATGCCAGCCCAAAGAAAATCCCAACTGCTCCACTCAGCTTTTACTAATTTAAAAATTAACCTCATTTAAAGTGCACCTTTGCCTGGTCTACATAGTGAATTCAGAAAAGCCAGGACCATATAGAGGGACCTGTCTCAAAAAAAAAAAAAAAAAAAAAAAAAAAAGTAAGTTAACTAAATATACCTTTGCCAAAACATCCAGCATCTTGTTGGACCAAATATCAATGTACTGTGACCTAGCCACAGTGACCTAGCCTACAATGTACTGTGTAGCCCTGTCCTGGAACTCCCTTAGTAGACCAGGCTAGCCTTGAACTCACAGAGCTCCGCCTGCCCCTGCCTCCTGAGTGCCGGGATTAAATGTGGTGCTACCACCTCAACCCAGAAACAACTTGTCTCTCTTGGTGGACTGTCAATTCTTCATCTCCCGTCAGTAAAGTGCATGTGGACTTCTGGTTTGATTTTATGAAATGAGCATCAGGAATGCTCTCTGCTGAGCAGTGGTTAGCAATACTCCATTCTCTGTGAGGTGACAGATACATGGTAGCCAATGCAGTCTATGAGTCTGTTTTTATTGGTAGTTGATTCATTCTGAGGTATTTGTTATATTTTGTTTTTGGTATTTGGTTTTGCTGTGTTGAAAATGGTTCACAATTTATCTAATATTGGACACCTATGGGTCCAGTAGGTGTCAGTGTATATCCGTAACATGAACGCTTGCCATTCACAATCTTCTTCCTAAGAACACTAGCCTCAGTACAGCCCTCTACCTTAAGGCAAAAAGAAAACAGTATTCCTGGCTCCCAGTTATACAGTGACAGTCTCGGTATTGGAATGCTTTTACATTTTAAATGGGCTGCAGAAAGGAGGGAAGAGACACTCTGTCATTATGTGGCAGTGAATATGTGGTCTGGCACAGGGATCTCCAGAGAATAAAATAAAGACTTCTGGCAACCATGGAAGCGAAGAATTAACAATCATTTGTGTAACAATTACAATTTGAATGAAGGTGTAGTTATTAGTATACAGTTAGTTCTCTTAGATTATCCATTAGTTTGGGTTTTTTTTTTTTTTCATTGAAGGACTATAAATTAGTTTTTGAGGGAAGAAAGTTTACTTTGATTTACTTTGACTCACAGGTTTGGAAAATTTGTTTATGGTCTGGTAGACCTACTGCTTTCAAGCTTTCCATAGTGGGGCAGAGGCACACCTTAGTGGAAGGGTGAGTTAGAACAAAACTTTATCTCATGATCTAGAAGCAAAAAAGAGAGGGGCTGAGACTCTGATAGCCCCACCAGGGGTGGATATCCAATGGCCACAGGCCCTCAAGTCTTCCGTAACACAAAGCTGGGAGTAAGGCTTTTAAACAGAGCCTTTGGGAGACACTAAGATTCAAGCTCTATCATAAGTAATCAAATGACTTCCTGATGCTCACAGAACCAGAAGCCACCTGGACCATGGACGTAGCAGGGAGATATCCACCCTGCCTGCACCTGTTGCACTGACCACACCCATTTGGGCGTGGTCACAGGTACAGCCGTGATAGGGGAAGGCTATGTCTGGGGTCTGGGACCCCAGCTCGCTCTCTTGCTTCCTGGTCAGGTTGCAGAGAGCATCCGGGTGGCAGGGTGGCATCCGTGGGGCGGGAAACCGCAGAGGTCATCTGTTTTATGTGTAAGTGAATTCCCCCTGAATAAACCTCACTTAATCTATACTGAGTCCAGTGAATCTTAATTCCCACGAATTACACAGTCAACTGGACCATGGACACAGCCACCTGGACCATGGACACAAACACCTGGATCATGAACACAGACATCTGGATAATTGACACAGACATCTGGACTATGGACACTGCCACCTGGTCCATGGACACAGACACCTGGATCATGAACACAGACATCTGGATAATTGACACAGACATCTGGATAATGGACACAGACACCTGTACTATGGGCACAGACACCTGGACTGTGAACATAGACACCTGGATAACGGACACAGACACCTGGATAATGGACACAGACACCTGTACTATGGGCACAGACACCTGGATCATGAACACAGACATCTGGATAATTGACACAGACATCTGGACTATGGACACTGCCACCTGGACCATGGACACAGACACCTGGACTGTGAACATAGACACCTGGATAACGGACACAGACACCTGGATAATGGACACAGACACCTGTACTATGGGCACAGACACCTACACCATGGACATAGCCACCTGGGCATTCTAATTTCTAAAATACAAAGCAGTTTTTCTTTCTTGCTATGCTGGGAACCAAATCCAGAACATGTACATAACAGGTAAATACTCTACCCAACCCTTAAAGAAAAAGAAAAAGAAAAGGCCATCTCACTTTAGCAACCTTAAATCCATGGTCCTCCTGCCTCCACTTTCAGAGTACTGGGAATAGAAGTGTGTGCCACCATACCTGGCTTCTTTTCAGAATCTAACACAGGCTGAGGTGGTGGCATACTCCTGTAACCTGAGCACTACCTATTATCCAAGCATTTAGGAGTCTGAGGCCGGAGGACAGACAATCTGGGATACTGAAAGAGCTCTTGTCTCAAACAAACAAAACCCTGTCACAATAAGGGATCCACCCACAATTCTGTTTTTCAAGATAGGGTTTCTCTGTAGCCCTAGAACTTGCTCTGTAGACCTGGCTGGCTTCAAACTCA